TCCAGACCAGTATCCATTCTTAATTTAGAGTCCCGCCATGTGTCCGACAGCGAAGGGGAAATCACTCCCCAAAGAGGCAAGGTGGGAGATAGTGGGAATGGTTGAGCTGCTGCTGTGATGCTTCCACAAAGTTCCTCGGTTCTTCGGGGAGAAGGGAGTCCGCGCTAAGCCAGATGTTCAATCACTCGCTGTGGGCTTACTACTGGCAATAGGGCACTGGTCAGACTGGCGGCCTTTTCTTTAGTCGCTCTAGCGGGAGAATCACAGCCCAGTCGCTCAGCCATCTTCAGCGGGTCTAGCACAGTTAGACTACCGTGGTCGGAAGTCGACTACTCTACCAACTATGAACGGACTAAAAGTTGACTTGCAGCCATCTGGGGAGATCGTCGCCACGGTGCTAATCATGAACCAAAACAGTAAAAGGGCGAAGCAGACTGAGATCATTCTCTAAACATTTTATGGGGGGGTGGGTGCGGGAAACGCCTCAATGTAGCGCATGGCCAGCACCTGCGTTGATTGACGGTCGGACACAGGGCAAGAGAGCCCAACCTTGGGTCGTCCGGCGCGCAGTAGACAAACCTAAGGGGGCGTAACCTTAATGAGCGGTGGTGGTCGATAACTAGCCAACACCCGGCGGGGAATGGGGACCGCCAGCTCAACGGCGATGCATCAATTGAACGGACAGACAGTACCTGCAGGAGGCAAACACGACTGATAATCGAGACAGATACCAAGTGGACCGACCACTGAATCGAGCCGTGAGTGAGTGGAAAATGCGGTGTACATCTTTTGCCCGCCTGGATGCGGCGTATCATGTCCGAGAAGACAGCACTACCGTCCTCTGGCAGGGAATTTTTCCGACCGTTGCGAGGACTGAGGGATCACATCGATTTATCCTTGACTGGAAATGTGTACTGCTGCAGCTTTGGGACTGACTCTCGCCCAAACTCATTTGGCGTTTCCATGTCCAAACCCTGGCTCACCTAAGTACTTAAGTTACTGAGCAGCAAGCACCCAATTTCTTTTAAGAGAGCGAGCCCATCAGAGTCCAGGCAGCCTCACATGATCGATTCTTCATGCATGACAGCGTAACTCACATGGGGTGTGCAGCAACTGCAGATGGGACTTGGGTGGGATACCCTGTCAATCGGTATGACGCTAATAGTATCACGTTTGCAACGGTATTACCAGAATACAGTACTGTGTACCGTCACCATACCGTGAAATTTTGGTATGGCACGCAGCGCTGGGCAAGATGGTTGTTAGTGTGTGTGTGTGTGTGTGTGTGTGTGTGTGGCCTGTGGATTGAACAAACAACGCTTAACCAGGCCTGACCAACGACTTAGTAACTAATTCAGATCCAGTCAGGCCCACTTCCATCGACCGTCTCAATTATCAGATCGGGGGACCCGCAACACCGGGATCATGGGCATCACCAACGGGTCGTCTACTGTACAACCTAGTCCTACCATGAAAATACAATCCAGGGCTGGTCGCTTACTGACCAGAGGCGAGACGCCTGATAAACCTCCCCAACCAAGTGGAGGGAAGCCAAGCAACGAGCCTTTCACTGAAAAAGCAAGACCATGTGTCAATGTTGGTATGATAGGCCTGTAAGCCGGACAAGGTGCACACATTGCGTCGAATCGAGCGCCAAAACCCACACCCCAGTCGGATCCTGCCACGACACACCCACACCCACACCCACACCCACCCAACACATGGCCAGCCTACTACTACTGAGCGGGGGTCGAGCTAAGTATGTACAATTGTACATGCGTGTGTCCTTCACCGGGAGTAGTACCTGAGTCGGTCAGATAGGTACCTAATTTGTACCCTATGGGAAGGGAAAAGAGGGGTGGCGAATCAGAGGCCCGCCGCAATGAAAATCTATGGCAGCATCTGGGATCATTGGTGGATGGGATGGGGGAAATCTGTGATCTTTTGGGAATTTCATGCATTAGTTCGGAGGTATATTTGAGAGTTATGTTGGGGGTGAATGGGGGAAGTGGATGGGCGTTATTTGGACTGCTGTCTATGTCTATAAGTCCGCGCAGCATGCGTGGGCAATCATTGCTCTTGTATGGATGACGATAGATTTGGATGGGCAGGGGACGGCCTGTTCTTCCATCGTGACACAGACAATTTCTTTTTCTCCTTGTTTTGGAGGCATTGGTAAATTAAGGGGCGAGGTTCTTTTCCTTGTTGTGGTCGACGTCATTTGCTGTTTATAGAGTGAGGGTTGGAATGAACGGACGAGCAATACTGTACTGGGTGCCATGGACTTGAGTAGCGTTGGGCTGGCTTCTCGGATGTTTGTCTGAGGAGTTTAACTGATGGGGTACTGATCTATAGATGGTCAAAAATGAGATCGAGTGGAGTTGAACTCGGAGATTGAGGATAAGGTCAGAGTGCTCGAGTCAGTCTGTCAGTACACTCATTATCTATCATAGATAGTTTCGATGTTGGATCAGGAGAGAGCCTCGAAATGACTGCTTCCATGTCAAAAGCCATGATGATCCGATTCCGGGTTTATTCCTTGAATTAAGAATGCAAGTGCATTCTGCTGAGCGTTCCTTCGCAAGCGCAGAGCTCAAGACGCACATGTTATACATCAAAATTCCAGCCAGCCAGCCCTAATGTATCAGAGCCACAATGCAATGTCAGAGAATGTAAAGTTCGGTGATTCTTTTTTCTCTAGCTTTGTTTGCTGAAGGATTGCTTCTTTGCTAATTGAAGTATTGGAAGCTGTGAATCGTTTCAGGACTCAAAGCTCAAATCGAGCTTTGGCATGCCGCACTGCATATTATCCGGGATCCATGGGGTTATTCACGTCTTTATGCCTGCGAGTAGACTTTTGATCTGCTGGGCAGATGGGGTATGTATGCTGTCATGTATACTTCTTCCGGTTCTTTTGGGGTTCGATGGCGTGTCTCTAGATCTTGTAGCGTTGGTTGTGCGTTTTTCTTTTGTGTTGGGGTCTGGAGTCTGCATGAGATTGATGCTGTGCAGTGGTGAGTAGATTTACCGGTGGAGAGGGCGCGGTCGCTTGAGTGAGACTTGGGTTGTTTATCTGTTTGGACTATTGGATTGATGGTCTATTAAGTAATGTTAGGCGTGCAGATGAGGCTCATCTCTTGAATAAGAGAATCTCTAAGATGCTGAGCTGTGCTGGATGCATTTACGCATGGTGTACCACTTTCTCTGCATGATTTATATCTTGAATGGATAGCTTATATAAATGTAATCTCTATGGCATCGATGCGTAGAAGCGGGGTAGGCATCACCTCCTACATATTCCAACATATACACAACATTCCCTTGCCGATTAAGCCCGGCTATGAACGATGGAAAATTATCAATGAGCAATGATACAGAGATCCTCTTCCGCAATCAACAAACGAACCTAGACAACCCATACATACAGACACATATACATACATGCATACTACACACACACACCTGCATGTATGCATATATTATACAGTATGTATGAATATGCACCCTCCATCCTCCCAGATCTATGTTTAGTCACTCGACCTTTGCCTAAAGACATCTTTTCTCATCCCTTGCGTCTCCCACCGTGCATCCTCGTGCATGAACAGTTCATTTCGGTTTTGTTTGGGTGGTGCCCGTGCTTTCTTTTCTTTGAGTGGAATGGAATAGAAGTACGGCCCAGGATAGATGCATTGTAGACGCACTTGAGGTGCTTTTTCTCTTTCTCTTTCTTTTTCTCTTTCTGGTAAAGATGGCTCGGTTTTGGAGTTGGTTGTGGATTTGGGTTTGGGATTGTCGTGGTTGTGTGCGGAGCTGGTTCTTTGGTATATACTGGGCTGTGCTGTTTACTGAGGTTCTTCGCGATTTGTATATAGAAGGGTGTGAGGGCGATGGTTTGGTTTGGGCAAGGTATGGTTTCTGCTCGAATGCATGCATTCAGGCTGGAATGCTATTTCTTTGTTGAAATGGTGCAATGGTGGGGTGTTTTCTACTCAGGGGTCGTGTTCTGTGCCTACTTCTGAACGTAGTCTTCATTGGTATTCGTATATCTGACGGGGATGTAGATGCAAGCGAGTACGAACTGTCTCTCTGGTGAAAGACGGGTGTAGAGTATATTAGTATTCGTGCAGGCAGGGCTGGCGCTGTGCGACATGGCTTTTTCTTGGGATCGAATGACCGACTAGGCGAGATCGTCATTTTCATTCTACTTTATCTTTTTAGTTAAGTGGGTGGTGGTTCACCGGTCTGTTGGCGCTCGTCTGCGTCTGTCTCGCTATTTACCTGCGAGTTCATGCAGTGGAAGGATCTACCGCATACAACACCTACACACATTATCCTATCGCATAGCCATTACATTATTATATGAATCAAAAGATAATCACATTCATTCTTCTTCTTCTGTAGAGAACAGGGTATTCTCTCTAGACAGACAGCATAAATAAAAGCGAAGAAGCATAACTCCCGTACGCCCCGAACCCAGCCCAGAATCCAACACCTTGCGAACCGATCGTCGGATCGTGTATCCTCGACATATCCACCGCAGGTACAGTACAAGTCCAAGTTGCACTCTACATCCACATTCTCCGGAAGTTCGATCCTCTCACCAATCTGGCTAGGCCACATTGCATTACTTACTCCTATACATACTATACCACTGCGGATTAGGGTGCGATTGACTCGAATTGAACTAAATACAACTCATTTACAATGATGGATATGCTGTGCGCTGCGGCTGTTCCCTTCTCTGATCGTAATTTGTTACCAAGCAGGCTGATTTCCTGTGGGTTGGAACATGGTCGTTGTGTTCGTCGTGGTGGTGGTGGGATAGAGGGGTTGGGCTCGTGCGACATTCTGGGAGGTGGTTTGTACAAGGCATGTCAGGACTCGGTTATGGAATCAATCAGCATAAGGAACTGGGTTTTATTACGATTTGTTTTGTTTTCTGGTTGCTCATTATTCGTTTACGGTACTCTTACACTGCAGTGCTGGGAACGGCGAGCCACTCAAAGCCTGGATCCCATGTTTACGTGCACAGCCTTAACCTGCGAGTAGGCTTCGAGCCCGGACTCGCCTAGCTCGCGCCCGATGCCGCTCTGCTTGACACCGCCGAACGGCACGCGGATGTCGCTGTCGTTGCTGCTGTTGATCCAGACCATGCCGGCCTCGATCTCCGAGGCGACGCGGTGGGCGCGCTCGATGTCCCTGGTGAAGAGCGCGGCGCCCAGGCCGTAGGTGCTGTCGTTGGCGCGGGTCACGGCCTCGTCCTCGGTCTTGAAGCTGGAGATCACGACGAACGGGCCGAAGACCTCCTCGCGGTAGATGCGCATGTGGTCCTGCACGTTGGTGAAGACCGTCGGCGCGATAAAGAACCCCTTGTTGCCTGCCACGTTCTTGTGCGGCTCGCCGCCCGCCACCAGCGTCGCGCCCTCCGACTTGCCCGCTTCGATGTACGCCAGAATTCGCTCGTACTGCGCCTGGCTGACCTGCGGCCCTTGGAAGGTGTCGTCCGCGAACGGGTCGCCGACCTTGCTCGTGGCCGCCACCTCCTGCTTGAAGAGGCTCACGAACTGGTCGTAGACAGACTCGTGCACTAGAAGGCGCGAAGTCGCCGTGCACACCTGGCCCTGGTTGTACATGATCCCGGCGTGCGCCCACTTGGCCGCCTGCTCGATGTCGGCATCGCCGAATACAACCAGTGGCGACTTTCCGCCCGTTTCGAGGGTGATGTTCTTCAGTGTGCCCGCGGCAAGCTTCATGATCTCGCGGCCCGTGATGGTCGAGCCGGTGAAGGCGACCTTGTCGACGTCCGGGTGCGTGACCAACGGGCTTCCGGCGACGCGGCCGTAGCCGTTCAGGACATTGACCACACCAGCCGGGAATCCCGCCTCCTTGATGAGCTTGGCCAGATAGAGGATGCTGAGTGGTGTCTGCTCGGCAGCCTTCAGCACCACCGTGTTACCGCAGGCCAGCGCCGGGCCCAACTTCCAGGCGGCCATGGCCAGAGGGAAGTTCCACGGGATGATCTGGCCGACCACGCCGATGGGCTGCCGGAGGGTGTAAGCGAACTTGGCCGGCGTGGTGCTGATCGTTTGGCCATGGATCTTGTCGGCCCAGCCGGCATAATACCGGAGACAGCTGAGGACCTCGCCCAGGTCGTCGTTCAACGACACGGAGTAAGGCTTGCCTGGAAATGGTCAGCCACACATCAAAGACCTCACCGCAGAGACCACCTACCGTTGTCCCACGTCTCGATGGTGGCGAGCGTCTCGCGGTGCTGCTCAATCAGATCCGCCAGCTTCAGCATCAGACTGCCGCGCTCTGTTCCCGGCAGCAGCTTCCAGGAAGGATCCTTGAGCGCTTTACGGGCCGCCTTGACCGCGATATCGACGTCCTCTTCGCCCGCAGCATAGACGGAGACGATCTCCTTCTCGTCGCTAGGTATCGGATTAACACAAACCCATAATCTGTTTTTCGTGCGCACAACTTACGCAGGGTTGATGGAGGCGAGCTTGTCACCGGATTTGGATGGGACGAATTCGTTGTTGATGAACAGACCGATGGGCTGGTCATACTGACGCCCGTTGGGGGCAGTCAACTGCACGCTCACGTTGTTGCTGGCCATAGTGATGGGGGTACTGTGAAGTGAACGGTGAGGAAAGAGAGGAGAGAATACTGTGCGGTGAGTGGGGAGGGAGGAGCGGAGAGAGATAGCTGGAGAGGAGAGGGGAAGATGACGACACGCGAGGCGGGGGAGTCGAGAGCAGACAAAGAGGGGAGAGAGGAGGGGGAAACGTGGTGGCATTGACCCGTGGGAGGAAGTAGGATGGACGGAGGATGAGGAGGAATGGAGGGGCAGTTAACTTTATAACCAGAGCTTCAAACTAAAGAAAGTAAGAACTTATCGTCGAAGCCACTGCGGAAACCTTGACACTTCCCCGCAACTGATGGACAGCCTGAACTTCCAGGCATCGAGATCTCCGCCCAGGTGATAACATGCCTTGCTGGCGAATCAGCAGTGCCAAACCTGGCCCAAGAGCCCCACTCTTCGGATAGACTTACTCTTTGCAGCTATCAGCTTCCTTCCGATTTCTTAGTTCTGCGGCCTTTGGTTGACAATGGGGCCCTTGATGGAGAAAATTTGACTCACTCTTGCAGCCTGCTTCCAGATTGCTAATCATCATCGGTCCACCCTGCTTGATCCTGTTCATCCCACCGTGACCTCCGACAGCGGACACCCCGACAGCTCCTAAAGGATGATCCTTGTCCCCTTCACCAGAACCACGGATCCAGCGGAAGATGCGATAAACCGAGGCACGCATGTCTAGGTAGGAGATGAATACGGTCTTAGAATATTCGACGAACGACCATAGCAATGCAAAAAACGCCCATTGATTGATTGTACAGAAAGCCTGGCTACCCCGAGATTATTTTGCCCACAACTCGATAATCGTCCAACACAATTCTTAAACCCACCGATACTGCTCTCCATTTACTCGCTCGGTTGCGGCTCCGCCTCATCGTTCTCAGCACCAGTGTCCTTAGGAGACTCGGTCGACTCGGTCACATCCGCCGCTTCTTTCCCGTCGGTCGCTTCGGTCGCTTCGGTCGCCTTGGTCGCTTCAGCTTCCTTGTCTTCATCTTCCTCCTCTTCGGCAAGCCCCAAGATGAACTCCCATTCGGCGGGACTCAAGGAAGACACGCTCAGTCGGGATTGCTTCACCAGCTGGAGATTCGCCAGCGGGCCTCCCGGGCTAGCATGTTTCTTCAGCTCAGTCAGTGTCACCAGGTTCTTGAATTTGCGCCGGAATTCAACGTGGACTGCGTGCCACTTAGGGCTCTCGCGCTTGGACTTCGCGTCATAGTAAGGGTGTTTGGGATCGAAGGCAGATTCTGGAGTCACATCAAAATCAGCCAACCATTAGGGGAGACGCGAGACGACAGAGTCCCACTTACCATCAACAGAGTGCTCCTGGACAATCTCCATAATGCCTGCGATACCGGGGACCCGGCAGTTGGAATGATAAAAGAAAGCCTGGTCACCCTTCTTCATTCCTCGGATGTGTTTCTGCGCTGGTCGAAGAGTAAGTGACTGACCACTTCGAGCCAAAGTCTTTCGCGGACTACTCACCAACCGGATTTCGGACACCTGCCTACATGTTAGCATCGGGGGAGAAATGGTAGTTCGACAGCAAGGCAGACGTACCATCCCAGGCCTCTGGTTTCGTGCGTGCGCGGAGATCATCAATGGAAAACTTGACATCGACACCTTTCTCCATGCGAGAGTCGGGCTCAGCCTTCATCAACCAGTACGAGGGTCCCGAGTCGTCGGTCTTGACCTCTGGCGACTCGGTCTTGGATTGTTTGGGGGTGGATCTGCTGGTCCCGCTCCGCGTCGGGGTCGGCTTAGGCGACGATTTCCGAGGCCTCCCCCGAGTAGAGGTCCCACCCGCCTTGGGTGTCGTGGGCTTGGAGGGAGTAGAGACTGGGGGATGTTAGTTGGCATGTTACTGCAGCAGAACCATCTCGTTGTCTGCTAGCCACTACACAGGCAAATGTATGCAGTGACACGGGGTTGTAGATAACAGGAAACAGGTAGTAGGCACTGACCAGACTTGGGGTCTTTGGGCGGCCGGCCGCGACCTCTTTTGGGGCCATCGGAGCGCTTCAGGTTGGGGTTTTGACCCTCGGGGTACAACCTGGGACGACCTCTCTTTCGCTTCTCGCCAGCATTGGGAGTGTCTGGTGCAACCTGTGTACAGAAACATGGTGTGTTAGTTCATATGGGAAGTAGGTTATCCAGGCTGTGATCCCGCTATCATTGGAGCGGAATCATCAAGAGAACGGAGAGCAGGGCATATATCCATTGGCGGGCGCTGAGCACGAATAGGGATCGTGAGCCGTGCCCCCTCGCATTGAAGCACAAATCGGGACGCGTGGATAGAGGGAAGGGGGTTTGAGATGAGGTACGTACTCTCTTAGCAGGCGGAGCACTGCTCTCCTCGGCGACAGGCGCGCTCTCCGACTTCCGCTTCCTCTGGGGAGGCATGGTGTTCTCTCGGGAGAGGAGAGAGGATATGCGTGCGAAGAAAGCCAGGACAGATGGCGGATTGAAGAGGAGAGAAAGGGAGGAAGGAAAAGAGAAGAAAAGAGAAAAAGGACCGACTACCTAAGGATGAGAAAGGTTATCAGGTGGGTGAATAGAGAATCCCACCAGTAACACCGAAGGTAGAAGGGGAAAACAAAGACGGACGGAGAAAGGCGATCGGAGGAGGGAGACTGCCAGTGCGCGACACGGCGGAGATCCAGACGCGTCTAGACAATGGGGAGAGGGAGATGCTGCTGCTTCACCGCCCGCTAACTTGCTCCCTCCTTATCGGCCACTGCATTGTTTACACTCACTCCCTCCCCAACGCGCCAGAACGATTTATTCTCCATCGAGGAGATCACGTGCACTCCTTATTATCCTCCATCCTCGCCAGATTTGTTGGTTAATTAAGTTCAATTCAATGTAATCAGCCTGGATTCAGACTGGACTCGACTGGACTTACTTTATCTCTTGTATGTGCCCTGACTTGAGAGCTTTTGAAGGCTATCGGGAACTTATTAGTATATGCTTGATCGACGGCACGACATACTTTCATCTAAGCCGAGGCTATATACAAGATTCAACCAAGGGTGCTTATATCTACCACATCGAAATCCCAAGCCATCTCTCCATTTCAAAACACCAAGAAATTGAACCGACTCTAGATGCGATCATAAGTAAGCAGCATAAGATGCAACTCTGCTCCCCTCCAAGCATGGCGTCACACTTGTGAGCGCGCCATCAATGGGATGGATTGCATGCTCCTGTTTCTGCCACAATAGACTTCCTTTCTTCAATCACATCGTCCTCCTGACTACAAATTCCACCTGAAATTATGTCAGAGAAACGTCTCCACTGCGTGGGGGACGGTAGCAACACAAACCAGCAAGATGCTCCTTCTCTCTTTCAGTGTTCCTACTATTCACTGGCACCTGCATCTTCTGCCTGACATGCTCGACTGCATTTCCCAAAATGCCGTTGACACGCCTTATTGAGGATTGTCTCTGCTGTCGTTATATCCAGCAAGCCTTCCTTGACATGCTTACACAAAGACGCAAAGAGAATCGTGTCCCGACGATACTTTCGTCTCTCACATATTCCGTACGATGCGATGCACCTAGTACGATGCCCCTGGCGATGCTTCGACCACCTTCAGTGGCTAGCATCACGGCCACATTCTGACACGCGCACCTGGATGAATTGCCACCTTCTAGTTCTTCGCCCAGTATATAAGCAAGCACTTCGATTGGCGCCTGGCTAAGTCTGGCTCTTTACTCACTACCCGCGGCGGTATCCATGTTGTATTTCAATCACTGGCTCTTCCATTGTTATCGCGAATCCTTCTACGGTGTTAGCGCCTGATCATAAAAGACTTGACGCTCGCCCGTATGTTGACTGTGCTGACGGCTACCGGAACACTCGTTATGGCCGCGTCACAGACCAAACTCGCTACTTTCGGGCTAGCACTGCAGGGGTTAGGAGCAGACATGGGCCTGCTGTGTCGCTCTCTCACTACCAGCTATGTAGAGCCGCAAAATACCACGAAGCTGAAGATGCCGATTGGAATTGTGGAAACAGGTAGCATGGTGTATGCGGACCCAGCAATAGTGTGGCTCTTAGATATTGGCATTGACCTGGGTGGCCTGTGGCTCGGACTGCCTTCTTATGCTTTGGCTGCTACATTCTAGCTGTCTCTCATGGGTCTGCTCTTCGTTAGAATTCTTGTTTCAAGGGACTGGACTGCTGATGGTCAGTCTGCATATAGGGAGACATGGCCCAGGCTTTTGATATACGGCACTGACACAAGGTGGCAGTAAATCTTCCCTCAAACGTCGGCCAGCTCGCAACGTTTGCAGCTTATGGTATAGTAGCTGCAGTGCAAGGCTCAGGTGGACTTCACGTCTCACAAGCCATCACCTCACTATCATTGGTTAACCTGCTAGTCACGCCTCTCCAGTACCTGCTAATCGCAATCCCAGATACTTTTGCGTCGATTGGTTGCCTGCATAGGATACAAGACTTTCTCAGGCAACCGAATCGCCTCGGTGAGCCTTTCGGATCGTCCATATATGATCTTTCTAAGCCTGAAGCTGATCCGCTGTTCACAGAGAAGAGAAGAATAGCCCAATTGCCCACAAGCCCAGTTGTGTCCCCCAGCCTATCCAGCATTGAGCTCTCTACTTTTCCAAGCCTTATCACTAACGCCCGCTCGAATGTAAACCCCGTGCATTTGTTCCTAGATAATGTCCGAATTGGGTGGAAGTCCTCACCAGCAGACAGATCCGGTGTTACCCTTGCACTCAGGCAATCAGAGAGTGGAATTCTCGTCACGATTGTCGGCCCGCTCGGTAGCGGTAAGTCTATCTTCCTGAAAGGTCTGGCTGGTGAGACGCCGGTACAATGTGAATGTGTACATAGAGACACGGCTGAGTGATGTTGATGTCGCCAAGTATATAGAAGACAATGTATGCGCCGTGATTCTTATTGATGACTCTATGGATCAACCCCTCCTTTCTCCCAAAGTAGACTAGCGCCAAAGTCAGCGCAGCCATCAGTTTCCCCTGGAAGGATGAGCTCATGACCCGCCAATGGGGGAGGTTCTGCCCCGGAAGCGGTGGCAGATTGCGTGATCGGAGGCTTCCCTCCAGTTCAATCGTGGAGGGGCAAGTTGGAGGGTGGATGGGAATGAGAGAGGGGGAGAGATACGGGATAGAGAGAGTCTTCCCGAATTCGGGGTTGTTGTCCATTACTATATTTATCCTCTCTTTCATCTCCTCTCTTTCCACCACTCTTTTCTTACTCCTTCTCACCACTCTCATATCCTCTCTCCTCACATCACTCTCTTATCTACCTCTAACGTCTTCCCCTTCCCCCTCAACCTTTCACAATGGCTCAGGATCGTGCTCCTCCGTAAGTTCAGCTGCTACTTACCCTTCAGTGGTTTACTACAAGTGCATGCGATTCTAACCAAGTCTCCCCAATAAGTCTTCGTCTCGGCTCCGAGGCCCCCAACTTCGAGGCTGACTCCTCCAACGGCCCCATCACCTTCCACGACTTCATCGGCGACAGCTGGGCCATCCTCTTCTCCCACCCCGTGAGTGATTCGAGTTGGGGACTACATCGGAATCAGACCCCAACTGACCAACGGGTCCGTCGAAACAGGATGACTTTACCCCCATCTGCACCACTGAGCTTGGTGCCTTTGCTAAGCTCGAGCCCGAGTTCACTGCTCGCGGTGTCAAGCTGATCGGCCTGAGCGCCAACGGCACCGAGTCCCACCACGCCTGGATCAAGGACATTGACGAGGTCACCGGCTCCAAGCTCAAGTTCCCCATCATCTCCGACCCCGAGCGCAAGGTTGCCTACCTGTACGACATGGTCGACTACCAGGACACCACCAACGTTGACTCCAAGGGTATGTCTGGGATTCTCTCCGAGCTTTGATCGGTGGTGGGGGGCCCTCACTAATACAACGCAGGTCAAGCTCTCACCATCCGCTCCGTCTTCATCATCGACCCCAAGAAGAAGATCCGTCTCATCATGACCTACCCCGCCTCCACCGGCCGTAACACCGCCGAGGTCCTCCGTGTCGTCGATGCTCTTCAGACCACCGACAAGCACGGCGTCACCTGCCCCATCAACTGGACCCCCGGTGATGACGTTGTCATCCCTCCCCCCGTCTCCACCGAGGATGCCCAGAAGAAGTTCAGCGACATCCGCGTCGTCAAGCCGTAGGTTCCCTCTGATTCCCTAGCTCGGAAAGACCTGATTGTACTGACTTGTGGGAACAGTTACCTTCGTTTCACCAACCTGAACAACCTGAAGCAGTAGATTCGAGAATATCGGTGGTCTCGTAAATTGGAAGGTCAGTTTCGCAGTGACATTGTTTCGATTACGAGGCTGGTGGTCCTGGAAAAAGGGAAGGCAGATATGATACGAAAGTTATGAAAAAATATGACATAATACTTTGATACCTGATGGCACCGCACCGAGATGATGCCGACTGAAGTTTGCCAGGAGTAGTTCCATTTGGCTGCATGATGTTGGTCTTCATGCAGGAACCCAGCTTGGCCAACAGGATGTGCTGGCTGGCGGTGGTGTTCCTGCATGCTGTAGGTTTCTGGGACGAGCTGCCAGTCCCCGCACACAACGGATGGGGAACTCGGAGCCATGGTTTGTCGTCTGGGTCCATCCCGGTGGCGATTGACCCTGTCACAAGTGACCACCCAGTCCTGGGTGGTCAGGTCAGCTTGGGTAGCTCATTTCTCAGTTTCGGACCTCTCGTGTTTTGTAGAGCGAGCCAGCTGGCCTGCACTCAGCATTTCTCGTAACTGGTTATTCCACCCCATCTTGGATGGGGGCTGAAGGCGTTGCTTCGAGTGGGATCAGTTGAGTAACCATCGGCGGCCAATCGCTGAGCTGGAGCCGCATTGTGGGACTGGCGGGTTCGTGAAAGTGGACTGACTTCTGCAGGTGCCTAGGTGGGGAGTGAGTGAGTGAGCGAGTGTAATGAATGAGAAAGGGGAAATTGAGAGACTACACGAAGTTTACTGCAGATCAAGCAGATAAGCATCTACCCAAACAGACAAATTGACTTTTGGTTGTGTGCCTGGACCGTAGCTAAACTGACCGCCTTCCTTCCTCGTTCAATTCCTCTTCTCTCTTTCTCCTTTTCCTTTTCCCCCCACCCTTGATTCTTTCTTGCGTTCTTGATTCGCACTCTCCCTCTTGCAATTCTTCCTATCATTGAATTCCCTGTGTTGTGCGCTGGGGTGATCTTCCTTGCACTTGGAATTAACTGTGTTAGTGATTAAACTGCAGCTGAAATACAATAGTCTTTGGTTCCGTTATCCTCCGCAGCGGGGACAGTCACCGATCGATTTCACCTTTCCGCGCCCGCCTTTCCCTTAACTTGGGTTAACACCCCCTGATCATCCCTACTCTAGGCCTCTCCGGTCGCACTGCCCCCCCCCCAGTCCCGTTTAGACATCGAAGATCACCCGACCGCTCTCCCACCAACGTTGCTGTCAAATTTTCCCACTAGGGTCTGTGCTGTTGTGGCACGCAAGGGTGGTGGCGCCTAACCCTCTCCTACCATTGTGATGACCCTCGGTCGCCTCGACTCTTTCCCTTCCTCTTGTTGAAACCCCCAAATCCCGGAAAAGCAGTTCCTGACCGTGGGTGATACAACCGGGCGGCACTTTCTTCTGCCGCACCGCGCGAAGAGTTACGAATCGACGCAGTTCCACCGGATAATAATTTCGATCAGAAGGCGAGTTCCTCGATATTTCCCCGCCGATTGAAAGTCGACGACCGTCGCGAATACCCTCGAAATGATGTCCCGAAGCCAATCGAGTCTGGGCTTCCTGGATACAGGCAGAGACGATCCCTCCGCGACGGGAATCTCGCCTCGACATCAGCAGACGCAGACGCAACCGCAATCACAACCGCAGCCTCAGCTTCAGCCGCAAGCCTCCAACTCGGGTCCGATCAATTTGTCAGGGCTGGTATGCAACGTCCGTCGGACCACCGGCCGGGAACCGCACCCTCTCGTGGGAGCAACGACAACAATCCTGGGCGATAAGCTATACGTGTTCGGAGGCCGGGTGCTCTCGAAGAGTAGGCCGCAGTTGACGTCGGACATATACGAGCTGGACTTGATCCGGCGTCACTGGACCAAGATCGAAGCGACCGGCGACGTCCCCCGCCCCCGCTATTTTCACAGTGTCTGCGCCCTCGGCGACCACAAGCTGGTGTGCTATGGCGGCATGTCGCCTGCCCTGAATGCCTCCAAGGACGCTTCTACCGCGAGCGGCGGGGCTGGGGCCCCGGATGCTCAGCCGGAAGTCGTGGTCATGTCGGATATTCACATCTTCGACGTGCCTACCCGGACCTGGACCCGGGTCCCGGCTATCGATTCTCCCCAGGGTCGGTATGCGCACTGTGCTACGATTCTGCCGTCCAGCGCCCATTTCACCTCAGCCACCGCGCCTCTGTCGGCTATACATCATAATCCGGCATCATCGAACCCGCACCAGGGCACGATCGGGGTGGATATCGATGGGTTTGGGGGCGCCGAGATGGTCGTGGTGGGAGGACAGGATAGCTCCAATCACTATATCGAGCAGATCAGCGTCTTCAACCTTCGGAGCTTGAAGTGGATGAGCACTAGCACGCTTGGTCGCAGCTGCGGCGCTTATCGCAGTGTGGTTGCTCCGCTGCTGGGCATGAGTGTCTCTGAGATCGGTTCCGCGGCCGAGAATCAAGACGCGCAGGAGCCTATCGCAGACTCCCAGGTGGAAGGATGTCCCATGCTTATATACTCGAATTATAACTTCTTGGATGTGAAGTTGGAGCTTCAAGTACGCCTGCCTGACGGTCGCTTGGTCGAGAAGCCTATGCAAAGCCAGGCGTCGCCCCCAGGGTTGAGGTTCCCCAATGGGGGCGTGATCAACGGACACTTCGTTGTAAGCGGTACCTATTTGACCTCCTCGAAGCAAGAATATGCCCTTTGGGCACTGGACCTGAAGACACTCACGTGGGGCCGCATCGACGCTGGCGGCTCGGTTTTCGGTCAGGGTAGTTGGAACCGCGGAGTACTTTGGTCGAGAAGAAACACCTTTGTCATTCTGGGACACCGGAAACGCAGCTTGGTAGAGGATTATAATCACCGGCGTATCAATTTCTCGCATGTGTGCATGGTCGAGTTGGAAGCATTTGGTCTCTATAACAATGCGTGCCGAACAACGCCCACCTCGGGCTACATCTCCTATAGTGCGCCGTCTGTGCCGGCCTCTCTCCAGTCGAAGCTCACCAAATTGACCTCTGGTGGACGACCGTTCTCTGCTGCATCGGACGAGCTCGGTCGTCTCGCCCACTCGCTACCCGAGATGGCTGATATGGAGCTCCAAGCCGTGGGCGGGGAGCGTATCCCCGTCAACTCCCGGATTCTGACGCGCAGATGGGGTCCCTACTTTATCCAGCTACTCCGCGAATCCTGCGATGCGGGAGTCTCCGACCCTGCTACGCTTCGTCCCGCTGTTGCCATGTACCCCAGCCGCAACTCCAGCATCACCATTACTCCCTCGATCGGCCAGAACAGCAACTACTCCAATGCTAGTACGCTTGTCAGTAACCGCTCCGTCACTTCCCGTTCCTTATTAGCGAACCTTGAGACACCTTCTGCGCATTCTCTATCGCCTACCGCTCGTCCCCGTGTACTCTACCTACCTCACACCTATCTCACCCTCCAAGTCCTTGTCTACTACTTCTACACATCCTCCCTGCCCGCCGTCGGCTCTTCCCTTTGCACTCCCCAAATCCTCTGCTCCCTCCTTCAACTTGCGCGCCCCTACCAAGTCGATGGCCTCCTCGAAGCGACAGTCGAACGTCTCCACCAAATGCTTGACGGCCGCAACGCCGCGGCCGTCTTCAATGCGGCCGCCATGGCTGCAGGAGGAGGTCGCGGGACCGGTTTCGCCAGCGGACTCGGTGGTACCCTGGAAACCCTCAACGGCGCCCACGCGGCCGCCACCGCTGCCGCGCAAGACCCCTCCGCGCTAACGACGACGACCACCAACACCACCGGCACCACACAGCCCTCCTCCGCAGCCCAAAGCCACCTCACCTCCGACTCCTCCGACACCGAACACGGCACCACCGCCTCGGCGGCGCTCTCCACGGCCAGCAGCGCCAGCGGCGCCGGACCCTCCTCCACCTCGCGCGGCATCCCCCTCCGCATCAATACCAACATCTTCAGCCGCCGCCAACGCCACAGCGACCGCGAGCGCGCCCGCGAACGGGAACGGGAACGCGAACGCGAACGCGAGATCGAGCTCGAACGCGAACGGGACCGCGAAGACTCCATCAGCAACGCCAGCACTGCCACCTCCGCCTCCGCCTCCACGAACACCAGCTTCGACCAGTCCGACTCCGAATACGGCGGCGGCGGGGACTCTAGCCGCATCCGCTCCTCGTCGCACCACCGTCGCAACACGGACGCCGAGCTCCGTCCCGAGCGCGAGATCTGGACCGGCGACCTCAGCAGCGTCATCGGGCTGCAGAAGCGCGGTCTGCGCGGGCTCATGGAGGGTCGCCGGCTGCGCGAGCGCACGGCTAACCCGAACAATAACGGGGTGAAATCTGGTAGTGCGGCGGTCAGTCTGAATGGGAACGGCAATGGGGTTGAGTAACTGCGAGAAGATATAGATAATTTAGCCAGGCGATGATCCAGTTAAGCGAGCGAGCAATCGAGCGAGCGAGAGAGATGAAGGGGAGAGAAGGAAGGATTGATTTGCTTTCGAGTATATATTGCATCTATCTACATTTAGGATGAGCTAGGGGTTTGTGGATAGGAAAGGGATTGATTGAAGTGGGTAGTAATGAGGAATGATGCATGACAAGAATAGAGACTATGTTCTTGTTTGAACTGACAGCATTTCTTAGCATCGCTCACTATTAAACCATTTGGTGATGCCTCTATTTTGGGGTTGCGAAGGTGGAATCGAGGATTCCTTGTACGGCGCTAGAAGTAACAAGTAGAGGTCGCTCATTGCTACCTGGTGCCCGTCCAACATACACAGATACATACACGCATACACAAATAATAATCCTCGTGTTCGTCTTTCCTTTCCTACGCCATACGTAACATACCACTGTAAAAGCAAAAAGGGAAAACACTCGTCCATGAAACCCCAACTAAGGCTAAACCCTGGAATGGACATTACATCGTTGACTAGACAGCACCCACGCTTCCCAGAATTGCCGCTGGTCGTGGCGCACGCTGACGCCCGTATCGCCCAGGTCTTCGGACGTGTAGGTGCGCAGTTTCTCGAGGGTCGCGCTCGTGAAGGTGCGGCGCGTGCTGCCGCGTTGCGCGAAGGAGAGGACGTCCACGTTTAGGACGGCTTCGCGCGGGGGTGCAGATTGCACGACGACGGCGAGGGTTGGTGTTTGCGGGCTGTCTGTGCCGTTACCGGTGCCATTGCCATTCGGAGGAGGGGGATGGTGAGGATGGTGGTAATGATGATGATGATGGTGGTGGTGGTGGTGGTGGTGGTGGTGGTGGTGGCCGTAGGCGTCCAAGTGGCTCGTGTAACCGATCTCCCGGAGATCGAGGCGCTCGAGGAGGTCCATCTCGTCGTGGAGCAGGGCGAGGATGTCGCGCCAGCGTCCGCCCGGGCGGAGGTAGATGCTGGCCAGTCGGAGGTCTCGCAACGGTCGCCGATGGCGGCGGATGAGCGCAATCACCTCATCTGCGCCTAGACGCCAGCCCTGGATGCTCAGCGTGCGGAGCTGCTTCCATTGCTGACGATGGAAGACGTTCTCGAGCGGCAAGTCGACCGGCGCATTGGCTGGGAAGCCTAGATGGATGGCTGTCAGGTTCTTGGCGGCCAGGAAAAAGTCGTAAAAGACGTTGGATAAGGTCTCCATGCGCGTGGACAGATCCATCGTAGATGAAAACGTGATATCTAAGCTCGTCAATCGAGCGCCCAGGGCGGAGAGGCTAGTTGATGGGGCTTGTAACAGTTTCACGGTCGCCTCCGGGCTGATCTGCGGCCCAACGAATCTGACCGCGTTACAATTGGAGTCCAGAAGAGAGATGCTCAAATTGGTGACGGCTCTGGTACATGCCGTTTCCCAATCCAGACTGGTTGTTCCTCCCAATGACGAGTGTTCGTGGATCCAGTCCAGCATCTGCTCATCCGCCTCATCCTGTAACCGCAGCAACTTGACTTGCTGCAGGGATGTGAATGCCGTAATCGCGCGGCGCAGGTACAGCAGATCGTGATTCGCTTCGACGATACGTTTCTGATCGGAAAGGCGACGTCTATGGATCGAGGATAGAGGGAGATTGTCTGCATTGGCCGTCTCTAGGATTTTGGGCCAGCCTAGGCGGTTATCAGCTTTTCCCAGCACACATTGATGACAGGTCTTCAGAGACGGTACCGCTTCCTTGGTAGAAGGGTCGCACCATGTACGTAAAATTTCTGACATGGCACGCTCGCTGCATGCTCAGAAGATCCTCCAGCCTCCGAAATCCCTCCGAAGAGAACCGGAGCACAAAGCGAGGGAATTTCTGCGGCGTGCCGATGCGCATGAACCTTCGACAGACGAGTCGAAACCGGTCCAACTCTGACTTCTCACCGTATACATGGGGCGATCGGGCATTCAGCGGAATGGGAGAGCCGTGCAGACTCGTCGGAGAGGGCTCGAGCGAGAGATATTCGAACCCCAGAAGGAACGAAAGAATGTGTTGAATGAGCTCGTCCGCCAAGTCATCAATATGCCGCGGTTGGTCCATGTTTGTCGCACAGCGAAGCAGCAGCGTGATCGGCTGCCTGGGCCACTCGCACCAACATGGAATCCCAAGTCAGATCTAGGGCAGAGATTGCGAAATGAAGTGGCACTGAGCTCACGGGAATTCAACAAGATTAAGGATATGTAAAGGGGGGCGGTGATCGTTTTAATAAAGGAGGAGAAACAGGCGTCACAGATAGAATAAGCAAAAAGAGCGAAGGAGACGGATGACAGCAGCGAAACTTAATGTTCGGAAGAGAAAAAGAAATGAGAAGGAGAAAAATCCCTGAAGCAGAAAAAAAACAAGAGTGACGAAAAGGAAGGACGAAAGTGATACATCCCCTCTTCCAGTTGGAGGCACACACATAGTCTTTCTTCTCTGTCATCTGCAGACGATGACGGCGGGCCACAGCCAGCGCGCGTGCAGCAGCAGCAGGTTGAACGTGTCTGACCAGACATTGAGAGCGTCCCACCGCAAGCTCATTTCCTCTAGCCCGTCCGGTGGTCATTATCACATCCAGAGCCTGCAGAAGCCCCGGGCGGATCAGACGACTCAATGGTAGCCGACCGGGGGGGAGATCGGAGTCACATGATCGTCAGTGCATGCGGTTATCCAGCGCGAACCTGCAGGAAAGCAGGTCGAGGAGCGGGAGGAGGAGGAGGATTGGCAAGGAGGGGACGAAGGAAAGGGGGTGTAATGATGCGACAGCAAGGGTCAAATACGTGCAGACGCCCAGCTGCAAGGAAACCCCGCCGAGGAGAAGTAGCAAGTCATGGTGGCCTGTCGTTGCAAGCCTTCGTCGTCCCTGCGGCTTGACCACGTCGCGGACGGTTCAGATAGACCAGGGGGGTGATGGTTGCAGTGAGGGAGGTATGAATGATTGGGGGGGGGGGAGTTGCTGTCAAGAATAAGATGCAGACTTGAAGAAGAGAAGTGGATCGCGAAGTTGGGAGACTGGCCAACAATGGCATTGCCCGTTCGGGTTGACTAGCAGTAGCTCCATCGCGTGGATTGTTAACTTGGTCGAATCTTCTGTAGGCTTGCAGCATTTTGGCGAAGGAGGGAGGAGGAGGGGAAAGGATCACCGGCACTTAAGCAACACTTAAAACGCCGTAGTCCCGTAGTCCAGTAGTCCCCGAGCCCCAGGCGCAAGCCCAAAACACTGCGACGATCCGCTGGTTGGTTGTCGCTGTTTCCTTCCCTCGATCTGTGTTGGCGTCGCCAGGCAAGCAAGTCCAGAAACCAAGAAACTAAGCAAATAGCAGGATCAGAGGTGAGTGCACAGAATCAAACAGCACTAGCACTATATACAGTACATGGGGTCGAGATCTGAGACGGTCTAGAAATTACACCACCAGGGCGAAAGGATCCCTTCACACCTGCTATCCCCCCACCATCTATCTGGACCTGTTGAGCTCGGTCCGGACTAGACAGTTAATTAGAGATACGCCAGATCTCATGCTGTCCAATCGTTCCCTGCGATGGCCGACCATCTAGACCCCCATCTTGTTGCTGTCGTCGTCGTCGAATAGACCGGACGATTGGCTCAGATCACCACTAAATTCCCGCATCGAGATCGCGCATCTCGGGTACTTTTGCGCCAATCATTCAGTTCAAAGCCTTCTCCATCCGTCGTCGCCTAATATCCGTGCTGCTTATCTTGGATGCAAAGTCCTCCGCATCATCAGGGGGCACCTCTGTCGTATGCAGGACGTCAACCTCGAACACGGCCAAAGGCGCCCATCCTTTCTTCGTGCGTGCATCATTGACGGCAGCACCGCCCGATCGAGTCTCCTTCGAGACTACAAGGGCGCCGATGTTTTCATCGGTGATGGTAGGGCCAAATGGATCCTTTATCTCCACCAACCTGAAAACCAGATCTGGCCGTATTCTCATTAGGATGTACTTTCCATTGGCACCAGGCTTCAAGTCCTCTTCAAGCTGAGGTTTACTGCTTCCGGAGCCACGAAAATCCATGATTGCTGTCAGGAAGGCGCCCGTGCTGTGACAGCGATCCTCCCAGCTTTCCAGATACTCGGGATATTTCTTCTTTACCAACAGTTCGTCCCCGGTGACCCCCACGATGAGCGTTCGTTCTCGCCCCTCAGCATCTTCCACGGGCTGCAGGACCAATGCTGTCGCGGTCAGTAGTAATTTGTGTCCAATGTGAAAATGGTCGAATGTCCCCCCTACAGCGACTGCATAGGGCGCAGTTGCTTCGTCCTTATCGGACAGGGTCACGAGGGATACTGACGGTTGCCAGTGAGGTGCATCTGAGATGGCATGTAATGAACTTGAATCGGAATGTTTGGAACCGGCTACCGGAGAATATAAGCTACTGAAGGCTGCAGCCAGGTCCTGCCCTGACTGGTTATCAGGGTAGTAAATCGAGTTCCATGGTCGTGCTGACTGAGCCAGGGTCCGCAAGTCGACGATCGGGCCATCGCGCGGCACTGCAGGCCTATCTTCCACGCTTCGAGACACTTCGTAGTCGAGGAGTACGACTCGTGCATCAATACCTCCGGGCATATCCAACTCAATCTTGTGTTCGATACATACAATCCCAATCAATCGATAGATGCGCTCTAGGATAGACTGCAGGCTTGCAAACGCTCTGGTGCGGGGCTGACAGGAAGGGGCGAGCAAACCCGGGAGGGAGAGCGCAACATCGAGAATAGCCACGCGATCGGTTCCGTTTAGCTTGAGATGTAGCGTAGAGCAAACAGTTGACAGGATAGCCTCATATGCGAACCTGAATTGGTCGAAATCAGCCGCTGGTGGAGGTGGCAGCAGCAGCAGGGCCGAGGGCTGGTTGGGAGCCATAATGTTCTCTTATGCGGGGAATAGCTTGTCAGTAGCTGATTATGTCAAGGAATGCTAAGGGATGCTGATTGTCTATGGGATTTGCGCTGATCAACGAACAAGAGAGAAGCATGCAGACAGTAACTCTGAGTGAGTAGTAGCGCAAACGAAGACGACAGACAACTTCCTGCTGGCGAGCAGGGTAGGAAACTAGATAGTAAGTAGTAGTATCAGTAGAGTAAGAATAAATGACGGCCGGCCGAAGAGGGATTCCCCGCGATTGGCTGACTCAGCTTGCATGGACTCCCCGTGACTTCCTCTTGTCTCTCCCAACTCCTCCTTCCCTTCTCCCCCTTCGCTTCACTACCTTTTTTTTTTTTTTTTTTTTACGTTCGTTACAGGCCTGCTCTTTTCAGCCGGGCAAATAAATCTGAACTCGTATGAGCTGCAGAATGTTTCTGTGAATCTCTCCGCGTCCTTGTTCCCCGACCTAGAGCGTGCACTGTCTCTGGTACAGTCGGAGCTCCTAGCGCCCTCCTCAACTCCCCCTCCCCAGCTAATCGTCGCAAGCTGATTACCACTGTCAACAACTGTGAACCTCCACTTCTCGCTTGGGAGGAGCTTCAATTGGGACTGGCTATATCGCTTTGATTAAACCGCAGCTCGGGTTACTCCGAATCAGCTCTCGCTATGTCAAATCCAGCCCAACCCTTCGACCCTCGACGGGCGACAACGTACGGGCGCCCGGAGGAGCTGCATATCCCGTCGGGCGCCCCCAACCTGCAACGACAGTCCATGTCCCACGAGTTCGCGACGGGCGCCGAGAATCATGTTCCCTCAATCAATGTGCATCCTTCCGGCTCTCAACCCGTCCAGTTTGGCGGCGGCAACAGCGCTGCAGGCGGTCATCTTCCAGGAGCACTGCAGCCGGGCAACTCCAACCGTCCACCAGCCGTGTCCATGAACACAGCCCCTTCAGTGCTTCCAACCCTCTCTCAGTTGTCGACTCCGATGCAGCCTCCCGCGGCACCCTCGTCACAGCCGCAACAACAAGCGCAACAGCAACAAGCGCAGTCCGCAGTACAACAGTCAACAAATCCGCGGTCTAGCATGGCCAATTCTCATGGGCATTCAAGGTCCAGCCCGGCAGGCTTCGATCAGCCAAAATATAAACAGCCCGGCTCGTCGCCGGGTGCTTCGTACCCGCCGCAGACACCGCTAGGGGCCAAATACTCCCCCTTGGGCCTTGCTGACATTCGGCCAACCGGCGACCTCTTGAGCGACACCATGATGACCCCTGGAATGATGTCCTTCAACAATGGCGACAATCAGGTTCCTACCAACAGTAATTATATCGCCCCGTGGCCCATTTATGCGGTGGATTGGTGCAAGTGGCCGGTCCCTGGCAACTCCGGTTCCTTTGGCGGCAAGATCGCCTTGGGAAGTTACCTGGAGGACAATCATAACTACGTACGATGCTGGTTATCCGTCAGTGGTGTGAGATCCGATGCTAACATAACGGCAGATTCAAATTGTCGATACACACTGGACGGCCCCCGACCCCGATACGCCAGATGCAGCGGCCGGAGACATCAAGCTAGAGTATGTCAAGACTGCGGAAGCGACCCATTCATATCCCGTGACTCGGATTCTCTGGGAGCCGCCATCTTCGCAGAAACAATCTACAGACTTGCTGGCGACGTCTGGCGATCATCTGCGGTTGTGGTCGCTGCCTGCATCGCAGCCAGCGCTGGCTTCCAACACGATCACGCGGTCGAATAACCAGAACGCGCCAACCGCGAAGCTGCAACCCCTTGCTTTGCTTTCAAACTCGAAGTCTCCGGAACATACGGCCCCAATCACATCGCTGGACTGGAACACTATTTCCCCCAGCCTTATTATCACTTCTAGCATCGATACCACCTGCACGATCTGGGACATCCCCACACTCACGGCTAAGACACAGCTGATCGCGCACGACAAGGAGGTGTACGATGTACGGTTCTGCGCCAACAGCGTTGATGTCTTTGTCAGTTGCGGTGCCGATGGCAGCGTTCGCATGTTCGATCTCCGGAGCTTGGAGCACAGTACCATCATCTACGAGCCCACGGAGAAGAACGAGAAACGTAAGGCTTCCCACGCTCACAACTTTAAGCATTACGCTAACCAGCGCGAATCTTCAGTCATGAGTCCCGGCAATGGTAGTCCCTCCGCGCCTGCACAGTCAGCATGGCCACCACCTCTATTACGCATTGCAGGTATGTAAACCTCTTCCCTATTCACTCCGACATGAGTGCTCACCGCCGCAGCGTCACCGCATGACTCGCACCTCTTGGCCACCTTTTCGCAAGACTCGAACATCGTCCGGGTCCTCGATGTGCGGCAGCCCGGGCAGGCTCTGCTGGAATTGAAAGGGCACGCCTCCTCCATCAACTCGGTGGAGTGGTCGCCCAATCGCCGTGGCGTGCTCGCCTCAGGTGCCGACGACTGCTTTGTTCTCCTTTGGGACTTAATCAATCAACACAACGCGGCGCCCGTTCCGCCGGGAGCACACCCACCGGGAGCAGCCCCGACCGCAACGCCAACGAGCGAGCGGGGGCCGGCCGCTGCCTGGCAGTGCGATTACGAGGTCTCGAACATCAGCTGGTCGCCGCAGGGCGGCACCACGGCGGCCGGGCATCCGCGCGACTGGCTAGGGGTTTGTGGCGGGCGGGGGCTCTGGGGAGTCGCTCTGTGAATAGCTCCATATATCTACTAGACTTTTGACAGATTGTCCACTTACACTTTGCTTGTTCTTTCTTTGTGTGTGTGTTTTCAGGCTATGACTTACCCCCTTGATGTTGTGATTTTTGGTACTGCTCTTCTTGGGACGCGGCCCTGGTGCATGAATGGCACGGAAGAAGCCCTGTATAGCGCGCGGACTCTCCAACCGCGGGGACGACCTCTGGTATATGGCATGGTACGAGTAAATGAATGAATGAACGAACAACCCACTTTCTTCCCTGCGTGTACTGCAGTGCATATATGCATGCTGCTATAGCATGCTGGTAGTATTCTGGTAGCTCAGCAGACCCTAGCCGGGTTTAAGTATCGAGAATCAGGAACTGATTTCCCGCTGGCACATTTTACGTATCAAATAAGAGAGGACTCAGATAAACTTTAATATTAGGAACATAGACATGAGATGTACAGTCAGACCCGTGACTGGTTCCGTGAGTTAACTACAAATAAGAAGACGCCCGCTAACCTCAATTCCGACCAGGGAAATAAATGTTTCAACCAAAAAGATACTGGACTGCAGAGCAGAGAAAGAGTCCAATGAAATCAATCAATCGCGTCGCTCGCCACTGCTCACGGCCGCAGGCCCAGACACAGTAACAGGCCCCTTGACGATGACCCTCTCCTCGACCCATCTTGCGAACTTCACGCTGGGAATATCCACTGCCCGCCAGAACAGGTCGCCTGCCCACAAGGCAATGGGCAGACAGATCATCCATCCCAGAAGGTACGCGACGCCCGCCTGGAAGTTCGTCTCGCGGCCGGTGAGGGCCCACAGTCGGGGCATGAGGGCGTAGCCCAGACCGTGAAGGATGGGGCCGTGCACAATGTAGAAGGCGAAGGAGATCTGGCCGAGGTATTGCGAGAGGCGGTTGGTGAAGAGGCGTTGGATCTGCGGGGAGTGGTTGATGCTGGCGACGATGAGGATGGCACCGATGGTTTGTGGGAATCGGTGCGGTTCAGGGTAGGTCTTCGGAGTGACCTTCCAGGTCCACATGTAGAAGGGGGTCCATTTGTAACCGGTGTTGGGAGTGGAACCTAGGTACAGGCCGATGATGAAGAGGGTGAGCCAAAGATGGCGAGAGGAGATGCGGCGGGTGGAGAGACGCGAAAGGACCGGGTAGTGGTACGAGTGGGATTTGGCGGGAAGAAAGCGGCGGAGTTGAGGTTTGGGAGGGTCGTCGATAATTGTGGTCGTGCTCGAGGTTGTACTGGCAGGAATAGGACGTTGTTCCCATGTGCCGTGAATGATGTCGGCCTCGGCGAGGAGCATGCCAGACAGAAAGAGCACGACATCCCAGCGGCCATATCGCATGCAGAACCAGACGAGTCCGCTGACAAGGCTGATGCGCACCGGAGTCGTGAGGCGGGAGGTGCCCAGGATGGTGAGAAACAAAACAATGGAACTGCGGAATTCGACGGGAATTGTCCACAGGTGCGGGTTGTAGTAATTGTAGTATAGAGACCAGTTGAAGGGGTCCAGGAGTTGAGCAATAGTCGAGTAGCCATCCCAAAATTGCTTGGTGAAAGAGCGCATGATGGGCGGGTGCTGTTCGTTGGTGCCCAGGATCGTGTGCCCCTCGACCAGGACGCGATGGGAGGGGTGGTAAGCCCCCAAGCGCACAGCCAGGAAGACCAGAGTAATTCCCACCAGTGACGGGATGTAGAGACGCAGGGCCCGTCGGAAGGTAGCCGAGGCGAGGGTTGTGAACGTTTGTTCCCAAGCGCGACTGCGAATCAGCTTGAGCGGCTTGTAGGAGAGGACGTAGCCGGAAATGACGAAGAAGATAGCCACCATGATATGACCCGAGACGAGCATGTGCAGAATCGGCAACTGCCAGAGCGCAAAGTTCTCTCCATTGAAGCCCCAGCCCAATGCGACTTTCCAAGTGTATGTGAATAGGAAGTGGAAGTTGAAGACGAGCAGGCAGGCCCAGCCGCGCAGTCCATCCAAGGCCGCGATGGCGTGCGGTTTATGAGCCGGTCGGGGCGCTCCTCCCATATAGTGTTGCAGATAACTTGGGGTGACGACTATGGCGACTCTAGTGCAGAAGGTCTCCGCAGCGGCGAGGAATTGATCGAAATACTCCTGAAAGCCATCATTGTACTTGTTGCTGCTGAAGGTGCTGCTCATGGATGTGTAACGACGTTCGCTTGCTTTGGAGGATGATTCAAGGTCGTGGAGGGGGATGTTGTGAACAGGGGGAGGCGAGGAGAGACCCTTGTCGGTCAACGACATGATGGGCGACGAAATTGGAGTCGAGATGGATGAGTTGAGATGAGTGGATTCAACGGTTGCGAGTCGTTATTCCGGCGAGTGGAGGAGGAGTGTGGGGGGAATTGACGCGCGGCTTCATGGGAGGAGGAGGAAAGAGGGAAGATGCAGCAAGAGGGACATGCTAGAGGGAAAGAGATGATCCACACATGAGTATAAGCACTTCAATTGAATAACTTTGAGTATAGAATACACGTACCTGAGATATGGGGGAGGGTGAAGCCACAATCGAGGAGAGAAGGAGAAGAGCAGGAGAAGAAGAAGCTGAAGAAGCGGAGAAAGAGAGAATGTCAAAGAGGAAGGCGGTGAGTGGGAACTGCCGCTTTGAGGACAGCTTAACAGCTAAGAAGTAACTTACTTGTAAGAAGGAACCACACTGGATCTGAATTTACACTTGATTAAGGTCTAGATAGTAGAATATGAATTGTTCCTATAGAGAGTATAACATTGCTTTCATTGTCGTAGTGGTGTTGGTGGTAGTGGTAATTGAGTCCTCCCTCAATCGACTCGCATCTCTCTCCCTCCCTCGAACTATACCTTAACTTTCCACTTCTCTCGCTTCCTTTTTCTTTCTCTTTTTCTCTTTATTCACCCTCACGCTGTCTGCTTCTCCAACCAACTCTCATTCTATCTCCTTCTCTATCTCTTTTCTCTGGTCGCACTTCTTAGAACTTTGACTTCGCTTCTTTCCAACCTGCAGATTCGAAAGCTGTCGTCCGCGCCTCCCTCCATGTCCGGGTTCGTCCTTCAACTTTCTTCAGCCTCTACTTCAGCTTCGTCCTTCGCGCCCTCTTCCATTGATTTGGGCCTAGATCGAACATAATCTATCTATACGTACTACTATCAGCTCTAGCGCTCTTATTGAATTCCGTGATACCCACTCTCCGATTTCTCTCTCCCGGCTCGCATACACAGACGCGCGCCCACCATGGATTTGCGCTCGATGCTGAACAGCGAAACCGCTGGCAATGCGAACAACCCTCCATCCGACCCTCAGCAGTCGCCATCGGCGCAATCTACGCGAAAGCCTTCCGATGCAGTCTACAGCCCGCGCGAACAAGTTCCTGCCGCGGCGCCCGCCTCCTCAGCATCCTATCCGGTCGGTGGTTTTCCCGGGGGCTCACTGCAACGAACTCATGTCTCTCCCGAACGCACTTCCTCCTACGGCTCGCTTCAATCTCCCTATCAATACCACCCCCCCGCTGGTCGCTCGGCTGGTGCACAATCTGCGCGGGGTCAGAGCCCACAACCTGCCCAATACGGCTCCTCGCGTGACTCCTCTTTCAATGCCCCTCAACAGCGCTCGCAATCCATTCAGTCGGTGCTATCCCACGACACGCCCATGACGCATCCATCCCATCCTAAGGAAAGCCCGTCGGCCGCAGGGATTGCGCCTGGCTACCCTTCTCAACAATTTTCACCCCCAGGACCCGGATCTCTGCCTGGCACGCCGCGCGGGTCGACTGCTGCCTACCCTCAGCCATCACCTTCCTCAGTTGCGCGGCCGCCCTCTTCCGGCCAAGAAGCGAGCTCGAACCGCGCCTCCAGTCCCTGGATCGGCCAGGAAGCGTCGATGCAAATGTCTCCCACCGCGATGCCTCGTCTGTCGCGTCCGCGAGACCAAACTCCTCGCCCCTACTCCGGTACTCATGAACGAGGCGGGTCTGAAGACAGCGTGAGCCCCAAGACAACGCGAGCTCCGAGCTATGCAGACTTGAGTGCACCCACCCAATCCACGCCTGACCAGAATGGAATGACTGTTGCGGACGCACACGTTAACTCCAGTCCGCACGAACCCCCGAAACGGAAGCGGCGTCGCTTTGATGTACCCCCGATTTATGCCATGCGCCCGGAGCGCACCAAGGGCCGTGGCCCGATCATTCCGAATCCCTTTCCTCCCATCCCCAAGCATGCCCGCGACAGCCCCGCCAATCCATGGTTGTTGCGCCAGCGGGCTGCCTCCGCCGCCCAAGGTCCTGCACACGCCGCCGCTGTACCCGTGTCCGTCAAAGCTCCGACCGATAGTTTGCCCAGCAAGCCGGCTGTTCCGCCGGCCTCGCGTGCGCCTCCAACCCCGGCGCCAGTCGAGTCTCAGAAGCCGGGCAGTTTGGGCCCATGGGAACCGTCTATCACCGGAGCGTTTCCCTACGAAGAGGTCACTAAGCTTGTTTGTGACTTTCTCTTCAGGCATGTCGTGGTCCGCAACGATGCCATCGCAGCTCCAGCGGGGGCTGCGGCAGCCGGACCTGCGCCCATCATCGAAGTTGAGGCCAAATTAGGGCAGCTCATTGATATGGACCGTGGAGATCGGGTCCAGCTGCCCATTTTGACCGAGACAGTCATCAACAAGCAATTTCCACGCTTCCGAACGGCGTTCGAAAGCAGCATGACGGTGGTACGTGACTCGTATCTTCGCGTGGCCATTGATATCAGTATTGACGTGAAAACCTAGGCCCAACATCGAGCGATGAACAATTTCCTCAACGAGGCAGTCAAAAGGTCCTTGGACCAAGCTGACCGCCCCCGCATCCCCATATCCTACGCCCATAAAAAGGAGCGCGACACCTTCTACGAAGTCTCTCCCCACGAACTCCCTCCAGTGATCCGCCAGAATTTGAATCCCCGCCATAAGCCCAAAGTCCGCGTGACCGTGGACCAACGCACCAACGAGGTCCTCGCCAAGATCGTCAAATGCCGCATCGCGGACCTGGACGTGCACAGCCCGCACACCTGTGTCGACTGGCGTATCAGCGTCAATCTGGAAATGAACTATGACGGCGACGTGAGCCAGCTTACTGTCATCGATCCGGCACGCGGTCACGGTGGAGATCGCAATAAAGATCGGATGAGTTACCGCCATCTGGCCTACCAGATTGATCTGACCCAGGTTGCTAAATCTGATGTACGTTCCCCGAATCCTGCATAACCGTCCAATCATTCCCAGCCGCCCCTTTCCTCTTTTCCTGCATAAATTTCACTTTACTAATCCCTAGTCACTCCAGTCCGCCAAAGGAGACTTCGAACACGAACTTGAGGTCGAAATCTCCGCCGCCGAAATCCGCCGCCAGGGCCAGATGGCCATGAACGGGGAGCCACATCAGTACGAGGACCTGGTCAAGGGGTTCCTGGATAATGTTCGCGTCTTAGCTCGTCAAGTACCGCCCTAGCCAGCCTTTCTCACTTTATCACTTTCTCTCCCCCAACTCCTTCGCCTCTTTCGTCTCAAGTTTCATTCAACATGCATATAATGAAATCTGTCACGCACACATTGGAATTCAGGGGACCTTTTGAGCGTCACAATGGCGATGGAGAGGACCCTCTTTTACCTTTTTATGGAAATGACCCGCGTGTGTTATTCTTACATCATCTCTTACTGTAGGTTTTTTTTTTCCCTTCTCTTCATCTGATGTATACCACTTGTATCATATATAGTATTTTTCTCCTTTCTACTTGTCTCTCTTCGCCTTTGATCCACCTTTTCTAGAATACTTACTGGCTTTTGTGTCAATATGAGAGAGATTGATAACTTGAATTATATGAGTTCAGGCGATGATTGTATCGGGTCTTAGCTGACCGCTTTTCGAGACTACCGTCAGAAACCTACATCATATAGTTCCACACCTTGGACTAAATTCAGAATCCTGGCCCTGTTGCGCTTAATCGTCCCTAAAGGCGATGTGATCTACTATTCCAGGAACACATAGAAGACAGAATCAAATGAAATGAAAAATGAGATAGATAATACACGTGATACAAAGTTAAGATGAGGTTGGGCGACGACGTTGTTGTAACCTAGAAGCGAGCAAAAAGCAGAAAGAGAATGTAAAAAGAAAATGGAGCAACAACACCCGATACTCTGAGATACCATGCTTGCAAATCAGTATGATGATTGAAAACAAAAAAGAATCAAAACAAATGAGGCGACCAGGCAGCCGTGGATGGTTGCAACCGATCCATTGCCCACCAATGCGAGCGAACAAATGAGAACAATAGGCCCCAAGGCAACAGAGATAGTGTTGTGTGTCTCAGGCGATGTGGCGCGGCTTTCTGGTTTGGGGTGTGGTCTATATCTCCTTCCATGTCTTTGTACTTGGATTTTGTGCCTTTGTTTTGTGGCGTGGGGTGGGTGGGGGGTTTGAGAACCGTGTAAAGTCGTTCAAGGGCTGGGCGTGCCCTCCTCGTAGCGTGGTCCGCCGTCATCGCCGTCGTAACCTGCACCAGGCGTTGCGGCTGCGCCGGCGGGGGTGGGCGCGTCGTAGGGACGACTGTGAGCGCCAGCGCCGTCGAAGGCGGCTGGGGTGGGTGCATCGTAGCCTCCTCGTTTCGAAGGTCCACCGGGTGTAGGTGCGTTGAAGGCGCCCGGCGTCGGGGCACTGTCTGCCCAGCCTCCGGGGGTAGGTGCCGACGCTCCAGGCGTGGGGGCACTGCCGTAGGCACCTGGAGTAGGGGCGGAGTAGTTGCCTCCTGGTGTTGGGGCATCGTAGCCTTTGTTGCCGTTGCTTGCGGAGGCTCCCCAGGCGGGGGTCCTGCCACCGCTGCCGGCACCGCCCCAAGCCGGAGTGCGCGAGCCGGCTGCGAAGGCGTCGAAGTCACTGTTGCCGGATCCGCCATAGGGCGTGCGCGCGCCAGCGTTCCAGGCGGGAGTGCGTGATCCAAAACCTCCACCTCCTCCGTAGGCGGTGCGGCTGCCATCGTAGGGATTGGAAGTGCGCGAGCCATCCTGCTTCCAGGCAGGCGTGCGCGAGCTGCTTACGCCACCCCATGCAGGAGCTGTAAAAGGTTGAATGGTTAGCGTGTGCTGGGAAAAATAATGTGGAGATTGACAATACTTACTACGAGCAGATGCAGCACCACCCCAGGCCGGCGTCCTCGAGGAATCGGCCATACCCATCGGTGTACGACCACCCTGCCATGCGGACTGAGGGGCACTAGAGGCGCCGTTGGGAATGCGTCCACCGCCCCGTCCACCACGGGACATGTCAATCGTTTGACCAGTGATAGGGTCTTTGACGACGAGGAGCTCCTTGTCAATCGTAACCAACTTGTTCTTGGTGTGCAATTCCACGCGAGCCTGCAAATCGGACGAGTCTTTGACAATACCCACCAGACCCTTGTAGGGCCCCTTGCGAACCTGGACGGTCTTGCCAATCAATCTGTCACGTCCAAAGCTCCGCTGGGGCGGCCCCATCATACCACCAGGGGCTCCGTTCCTCATCAGCGCCGGATTCATCTTCGTCAAATCGGGTCCGGTAGCTCGACCTCCCTTGGCCGACACAGTGACAACATTAGTCGTGCGCACCACCACAATACCAGAGTTCTCAGCTTGCGCCTTGTTGTGCAGGAACAGGAATGAACGGTAGATGTGGAGGATTACACCGTTGCGCTGTTCACCATACACTTCGCGCACCGTGTCTCCAAGGCGAATTTCGGCACCGTTGCGGTCGGTAGCCACTGCATCACGGCGCGGTGTGATCTTGTTCGTGACATGTGTAGGAAGAATGGTACGGATAGAACCATTCTGATCCAAGACTCGTAGTGACTCGCGATCAACCTTGACAATACAGGCGACAGTAGCAGCGCTGCGTATCTAGTTAGTCATAGTCTAAACAGGGTCCCAGGGGGTGAACTTACTCAAGTTGAACCAAGTCGTGTACGTCGAACATGCCGAGTTTACCATCCACACCAGTCTCGGCAGATAGTCGGAGATCCTTACTAAAGACCGTGATCTCCTGCATGCTCATATCGCTGAGCAGCGTGACTGTGTCGTCCTTCACTTGTACAACCATACCCAACTCGTCCACATATCTGCTGCCACCGATGACCTTGACATGGTCACCTTCTCTAAATCGCTTGCGGAGGGATTTGACCGGTGCTTCGATGGACTGTCCGGCCAATTCACCCTCCGTGACCAACAGAGTCACAATGTCACCGCGCGTAGAGGTTGTGCGTCCGATCAGCCCTTGCTGTTCACCCCGGAACACCTCAACTGGATCACCAGGGAGATACGAATCTTCCGCGGTCTGGTTCTTCAGTGTTTCAGCCAAAGAGGCCAGATCCAGGTTGGAGGTGCCATCTTCGGAACCCCGAGCGAACATGGTAACCTCTTCCAGGCGAGGGTTCACATTCTTGGTGATCAGGTGCTGAACCTTCATGTCCTTGATCAAGAAACCCTCCACATAAGTCTCGCCCAAATAACTCCAAGACTTTCCACCCAAGCCAGACGTTGCAGAGAGATACTTGGCGTGCTTCTTCTTGGCTTCAGCCTCACTGAAGGCACGCTGTGGGGGACGAGCTACTGCTGGGTTCATGCCAGGACGCTTCCGCTTAGGGTCGACAGCCGGAGCACCGATATCCTCGTTCAGACCGTAGTCCAAACGAGGAACCAGGCGCACCGTCACTGCCAGGCCATTAGTCTCGACCTCCTCGATCTGCGCCAGATCGCCCTGGTATTTTCCGCGCTTGATCCGAACCCAGCCACCAGGCATAAGCTCCTCCGACTTCTGCACGCGCAGAAGATCCGGCATTTCACGTACGGGCACCAGGATCATCTTAGTCCGGGGGTAGACGTTTGTCATATCCTGGAGTGCTTCCATAACATCAGCCTGCCGGCGTGCCTCGACGTAGATGTATCCAGCCATTGCTCCGCCGCGCTCGAAAGCGGACATGATCTTGACAGGGTTCCGAGACCCAGGTGGTCGCTCTTCAATGCGCTTCTGGATTGAGAACACCACCTCACGCTCCTTGCCAGCCTTGCAACGAACACCCCAAATACTGGGATCATCGACACTGGGGAGAAGCAGTCGCTTGGGCACAACAACGGCATCCGTGGCCGCAGCACGGTTCCGTCCGTAACGCTCCTTGAGCATCTGAGCCTGCTTCTCCGCATCCATGCTGGCCGCCAACTCGCGCTGACGGTCCAGCTGTCTGTGTCGCCGATCATCCGTTTCCACCCCGACAGGCAGTGTGTCCATATCATCGGGGTGCATTTCCCCGCCAAATTCCATCTCATCCTCCTCGTCTTCGGCCTCATCCTCATCCTCGTCAACACCGGCCTCGGTATCAACGAAAGAGAGAACACCACCTCTCCGTCTGCGCTTCGCGGGCCGTCTCTACATATCGGATGAAGCCTGTTAGCCATGCCATATCCTTTCACGCTAGAGAACAAAAAAATGCAATCGGCGCAACTTCAGAGTTACTCACGGGGTTCACATCGTCATCCTCATCTTCGTCTTCATCCTGGTCCTCATCCTCATCTCCTTCTTCCTCATCTTCGCCGTCCTCATCGTCGTTATCGTCCTCTTCGTCGTCGTCATCCGCATGACCTCGTCCTCTCACGTCATCCTCGCTGCCCGCGCGATGCCGTGCCGTCCTTCCAGTGTGTACATCAGCGTCATCGTCGTCGTCATCGTCCTCATCCCGACGGCGGTGAGTCGCCTGCGATTCCTAGTGTCAGCCACATCATCCACGCACAATGTACTAGCCTAGTACCAACCTTCACATCCTCGTTGTCTGAGTCTTCCGCCGGAGCGGGGTTGAAATCGTCATCCTCCTCCTCGGAGCCGAAGTCCTGATCTATAAGGTTGCGCGACATGTTGGGTGGGAAATCGTCTTTGGTTGTGAGAGATAAATGTGAATTGGGTTCACAGGATCCGAGAATAGTAGACCGTATCACGTTTCCGGAGTTTGTGAAAATGAAGAGTCGAACGTATATTGTTTGTGAAGACGGATCCCTGAACCGGAACGAGGTCGAGCAGTCTCACAGGTGGTCGGAGGATCTTGAAACAAGAATTCGCACAGATCTGTGCAACGCAGTACGCACCTATACTGCGGTAGATGCGATGCAAAGAATAACAATATATGAATCTGCCCAGAGCCGAAAGAAGGACAGCAGCAGGACCGCGCGAAGCTGGCAGCGTTTCGAGGTTTCACCTCGGGGCGGCGGCGAGGCGAGAGTTTCCGTTGTTTCGCCGACTCCGCGACCGCGATCTCCTCACCGAGCTGGTTGAGCGGGGAAGCTGAGCAGGGGGAGAAATGTGATCAAGCTAAGATCGTAGTGTCGCTGACTGGCTGATATGGCACAGCTACTGGATTAGAACAGGACACAGAAGGAGGCAAAGCAATTATAGTTCAGATGGAGGCGGAGAGAAAGAAAGATGGAAGATCCCATTGAATGAACGATTGATGCGGGCAAATGACACTTTGGGTTCCTCCGCTCCGCCGGACCGCCTTCTTCTTTCACTCACTGCTCGCTCTTCCTTCTCGGATTGGCGATTATGTTTCTTTCATTGTATCTTCGTGGCATTTCACTTCTACTGGGTGATTGCATGAATTTTACCATTCAGGATTCAGCATGCTCTCTGAGCCTTTGTCAAGAGGGATCTTCGGCACTTCTTGGCGGCTTTATCACCAAGCCTTGCAAAAAAGACTGGAACAACATGTCCAGGACAGCTCAAACATCATAGTGCTTGCAATATACTAACGCGTTCATACCTCTGGATTCAATCCTGATTGTTATACTACAGACTGGTTGATATTGGAACCCTCAATACCCCTGCAGATTCTTATACTTGGCATCATGCCGGCCCTATAACTTCACAACTTCAGCCCAAACAGCTGATGCACCCGCAGACTCTGGCGCATGCTGAGATCCAACATGATCTCTTCGCTACCACCAGGGATAGCATAGGCCCGAACGTCACGGTAGAGTCGCTCAACCTTGCCACCCTGGCCACCTCGGCTGTAGCTGAGACCGCCAAAGATCTGGCTGGCCTCGCGCGCACAGAATTCGTACGTAGTCGTGGCCTGCGCTTTTAACCCAGCAATAGCGCCTCCCAGTTTGAGCATCGCTTCCGTCTCGTCCATTGATTGGCATTGATAGATGATGTTCTCAAGCCAATTGTACGTCGCCTCAATCTGACGAGCCATGTGCGCCAACTTCATTCGGATGACCGGGTGGTCAATGAGCTTCTTACCGAAGGTCTTGCGCTTGTGTGCATACTTCATCGACTCCTCATAACAGACACGAGCGAACCGCACGCACTGGATGACAATGCCAATGCGCTCGTGGTTAAAGTTGGTCATGATCACTGCGCGCAGTATTAGGTTCTGCAACAAAGGAGCATAGTAGGTATCTGATGGATGATAACGTACCCTTGAAGCCTTGGTTCTCCTTGCCAATGAGGTTCTCCACCGGCACCTTCACATCCTCAAACGTGATATACGTGGTGCCACTGCTCCAGACACCCTGGCAATCCATGCGTCGAGTACTAACACCACCCTGCTCCCTCTCGATGAGCAGCACGCTGATGCCGTTCATGCCAGGGCCGCCGGTGCGAACTGCAGTGGTGAAGTAGTCGCTCCAGATACCGTTGGTGATCCACTTCTTCTCGCCGTTCACGATGTAGTGCTTCCCATCGGGCGTCAGCTTGGCCTCACAAGTGAGGTTGGCGACATCACTACCCGCATCGGGCTCCGTGATAGCCAAACATATCCGCTTGTCACCAGCCAAGATACCCGGCAGAATCCTCTCAACCAGAGGCTTCTTTCCGAACTTGACCAAGGGGGGGCATCCGATTCCAAAGCCACCGATCAAATTCCATACGAAACCACCGCTACCAGAGCGAGACAGTTCATCGGTGAGAAGCATCTCATGGAACAGGTCCCAGTTTTCCGGGGCAACGGATTGCACCCGCTTAGAGGTATACTGAACCGGGTACTTCATTCCCAGCAAGCCGGCCAGATATCCCCGCTCGCCCATCTGTTTGTAGATGCGTTCGGGGACGTTCTTGCTTTCATCCCATTCCGTCACGTTGGGCTCAATCTCCGTGTCCACCCACTGCCGAACCTCCTCGCGAAGGGCGGCATGCGTCTTGTTGAAGTAGGGCGAGTGGTACTAGACCCCAACAGGGAACGTCAGTCTGCTGTTCCACCTTCCTATGCTTGAATGGACTCGGGATCTGCTGATACTTACCCCATGATACCAAGCCGGGTCCGCAAAGGGGATGAGGTCGCCGAAAGGCTCCTGAGCTTCTAGCGACTTCGCAGAGACCACATCAACGGGCCCCACTGGAGTCTTTGATGCCTGTTGCTTGGCCGGAGCAGATTCTGGTGCTGGCGCCGGTGCGGCCGCCTTCTTCGTATCCAAGGATCCGATTTGAAGCTGGCCCTTGTACTTCTTCAAGATTCCCTCATTATGGTACTTCCAGAATTGCTTCGATGCGTCTTTACCGGCCACTCGTTGCAGGACTAGGATGTGGTGGTTAGTTGCTTACGCCTCAAGAGGGCTCGGCTATCCACTGATGAAGACATACTTTTCTTGCCGCCTAGAGGGTGACGCAAACACGTTAGTCCCAAATCAAGTCTTGAGATCTGCAAGTGAAGCTTACCCGGGTGGTCCTCCTGGAACTTGGTCAGGTCATACACATCCTCATCGATCACCACCCACAAGTTGTCCGGTTTGCTGTGCGAAGCTACGTCGTCTTTGGAAAATGTCTTGGCCATTCTGTACGATGATTAGAGGAAGAAACAAATATATGTAGGATTCCGTAGGTAGGTATAAGTAGGTGTAGATGCGGTGCTCCCGGGTCGCACTGCGTTTCACAGGGGGCGACAGTGGGGTCGAAATCCGGGGTAAGACGGTAAGACAAGAGAAAGGAATGGGCCGCAAAAAAAGGGAGGGAAAGAGATCTGGGGTAGGAGAGAAAGAAAGGAGGGAGGAAGAAGAAGAAGAAGAAGAAGAAGAAGCGGGTCCAATATAAGAGGGTCAGCAGAGAGCACAAAAGCAGGGTGCGGGCTGGCTCAGCTTTGGGTCACGGAGGCCTCTCCCTGACAGCGGCCCTCAATGAAACGGTTTCCCCGGGTAAGTCCAATCAATGAGAATGTATAGTGCAGTGGATACAATGAGACAGAGTCCCGATCGGCAGCGGAGAACAGCTCTCGGAGTAGTTACAAAGTGGGAGGAGGAGAACTAATCATGGATTGTGAATGGGAAGAGAAACGGCTTTCACATGCCTGACGGTCTGACTTCATCACTGCCTGCTTCTGCATGTAAAGAGGCAGCTCACGTGGACCGCACGCCTCGGCCAGGCCGGGATATGATGGTTTGTCCTTCGTCCGATTGGCTCCCCCCGTGCTTGTGGCACGTGTGGAGCCTTAACTGCACGGAGCAAAAGCCGAGGCAGGCAGAGCACATTGCAGCCCCAGGCCAGTGGTTCGGATGAGGTGAGATCATGCATGATCCTAAATTCTACCCATGTAACATGTGAACAGGACGAAGTTGGCGGAAGAGACACCTATCAGCCAGGGGTAAATTGTCAGCAAAGGGTCATGCTGGGATAATAAGTTATACTTCCTTCATAATTGCATTGCACACGTAGCAAGGGCATGAATCTGTGATCCCACACCTAACACTACAATCGTCCTAATAAGGCAAAAATGTTGAATAAATTCACATAGGGCATAAATTCCATAATTAACCTAGAAATACAGCCAGCCAAAGAGATCTATCAATGCGGCCGAAAGCTTTACTCTTCCGCTTCGTCGCTCTCGTATTCGAACTCGTTCGGAACCGGTGCTTCTTCGCCATCCTCTTCATCTTCATCCACCGCAGTCAATACGCCGGCGGCGGCTAAGGCGCCAGTCTCAGCACCCAGCCCCCGGCCACCACGTTGGGGAGTCTGGAGACCTGCCGCACCCATCGCTGCCTGTAACCGGTCTTGCAGCGTCTCTGCTGCTGCTGCCTGTTTAACCTCCTTGCTAGCTTTCATCTCAATCGTCTCGCGAGGCTCTTCGGGGGTCTTGTCCAACACAACAACTACACCACCGGTAGGCTGTTACCATATTAGCTTTGGTCCTCATAAAAAGGGGAGATGTATACATACCCGTTTGACGGGCTCATAGCGCGGGTCGGGGAAGGTAAGATATTTCAGCTGAGCTGGGAGGACACGGGACATGTTGTCCAACTCGTAGCCAACCTTCTCTCGCTCGACCTTCTTCTTCTGACCTTCACCGCCGTCCTTCTCTCCATCCTTGGCCTCGTCTTCACCCTTGGCGGTGCTCTCATCCATTTCCATCCTGTCTGCCAGAGGTTCAGAGACCTTAGGTGTGGTAGGGGTCTGATCAATGTCCATACTCTCCCGGCGTTGCTGCTTCTCCCGGCGCTGAGCACGGCGCTTGGCCTGTGCAGTGGTCGAGAGGACGGCAGTCTTAATCTTCTCGGGCGCCTCCTCCGTCTTGACCTGTTGCTCAGGAGGGTAATCGAAGAGGCTGGGCCTCGTGTTGCTGTGGAACTTGAACAATGGAACTTCCAACTCATCATCCACGCCAATCACTGCGGTCGGAGTGAAGCTGAGCGACAGGAAGTGAGTGAGGGGGAACCAGTACCAGTACTGAGTAAACACAGCAGCACCAACAATTCCGGGCATGTTGAGGTTGCCCGTCTGAGTTTGGAGGCTAATAGTGCAGTTGCGCCCACCGGCATCGATAATACCCAGAGCAACGGCGCACCCAAACTTGGCCATGGCATCTTCGTGACGGTCTCCAATCATCTTCATCATGGTCTTGCGGAGCGTACTGACGCGGGGGTTCATGGCTTCGTTCTGTTGCACCAAGACCATGGCCAGAGCAATCAAAGCACCCTGCCTGACAAAATCGGTTGAGTCCTTAAGCATAGGTTCGAGCAAGTCGATAGCTTCGTCCAAGCCGGTACCAGCACAAGAGATACCCAGTGCCATTGCAGCTCCGTAACGAACGTGAGGGTTATAGGACTCAGACAGCAATTCCACCATACGAGGCACACTCTGGTGCTTGCGGAACAGGATGAAGCCCAAGCTCAGAACAGCGATGCGGCGAACATCGTCGTTAACATCGCTGACAGCAACGTGAAGAAGCTTTCGGACGGCCTTGTTGCTGCTGCTACCACAGTACGCAAGAGCAATCGTCATAATACCACCATAACGGAGGGTAGGATCGGGATCACCCAAGAGACCATTGATCAACTCGTCCGCGGCCTCTTGACGTCCGTACATGATTAAAGCCATACCGATGGCCAAACCACGAACAATCTTTTCGTGTTGTGTGTCGTGGGCGTATTGAATCATGTCCTCGAGGACTCTCATGTTACCAGTGCCCAGCATAACCAGGCCCATGGCAAGGCCGACGGCCTCACCATTGAGCGCAGAGTCGGTGTAGAGTACATTCCGCAAATCCTCGTAAATAGACTCATTGCCAGACGCCATGCCCGCAACACCGAGACCCAAGGCACCACCGTGTTGAACAACCTCCTCGGTAGCTTTCTTGAAGTGGTCACGAATAAGGTCCACAGCCATGCCACCATGGTTGGCATAGATCAATCCCAGGGCATACAAGGAACCTCCTTGGCTGTAGACAGACCCAGAGCCTCCCACACCAGCGATATGCTCTCGAGGCAGATATGGCTGCAGAAGCTTCTCACCCTGGGTCAAATTACCACGGTGGATAACACCAAGTGCCGCGGTAGCGGTGAACTTAGACCAGTTAACAGCTTTGCCCAACCATTCCAAGTTGTCTCGGAAGAACTTGTCGTGCGTGGTACCGGCGTGCATAAAAGCGTTCGAAAGGGTGACAGCAGTGTGGAAAATAGAGTTCCGAGCCTCCAGGCTGTCCCGAACCTTGTTCAAGATTGCGATATCGGCCTTGTTGTTGCGATATAGGAACTCCAGATTCAACTGAATGGACTTTCTGCCGTCGATAATGGCAAGAACATTCTTGTAAGCCGACCGCGCCTCGGAAGTCATCTTAGTCTGCCCGTTATTGTCTCCGATCGACCTGGATTGGTTGTCCAACAAAGGATCCGATTCCTTGGGTTCCTCTTCCGCCTTCGACTCGGACTCCTCATTGACCTGGAGGGGTTCGGCAATTTCGCTGCGAACTCTCTGGAGGAATTCCTGTGTACCATTGTCGTAAAGATCAAAGGAAATCTGGTAGGCAACGGCGAGCGATCGTGCGTCACCCTTGTCAACCAGTTGGCGAAGAATGGCCGACGCCATTGAGTGTTCATTGAGATACACTACACACTTGGCGATCGAGAAATAGTCGGGTGCGGGGATTTCGTTGAGGAGTTCGAGGATAAGTTTGAGAATCTTGGGAGATGGACATTAGCGCCAGTGCAAGGGAGAGCCGATAGGATAGTATAACATACGTCATTGCGGAAGCCACGCTCCTGCACAATTCCCATACAGATATCCAGAACGTACTCCATTAGCTCTTCACTCCGTCGCGATTCGCCGTTCTGCTTCTTCTCATCCTCACTAGCCCTGATGATGGTTTTCCGGAGGACATCGAGGTTCTTGGCTTCGATGGCGATTCCAATAACTTGACGGTACCGTTTTTGGGTGAAGCATTGTTCGAACAAGCGATCGATGACTGATTGCAATTGACCTTGAACTCCCCGCTTCAGAACCAGGGGTGTCTCGACCTGCTTGACGCTCGCGTCATCGCCACCGGGATAGGCCGCATCCACTCCGGGCACTTCTTGTCTGGATAAGAGGGACTTGGATGGCAAAGCCGATTGTGAGAAAGGTGTGATCGGGGATGTCAGGCTGGCGGAGGTGCTTGTGGCGCCTTCACCGGATGTCGGGAATGAGGTGTTCAGGTTCGCGGGTTGATCACCAGCCGCAGGCCGCTGGGCGGCGGAAAGTGAGACGAAGGTGTCAACACATTTAGCTGGAACATCCCACGGTTAGAGGTCTAGCCAATTTGCCGTGGATCAATCAGCTAGAAGGCTTACCAATGATTGTTTCCTCGAATTCGCCACCGCTGTCCAACTTGAAGAGCTTTCCGGCCCCAAGTGCAAACACCATGCTTTCGTTGTATTCCTGAAGGTGATAATAAACCTTGGCGGCGACTAGGGCGGCAAGCTCGCGTTCCGGAAAGGACTCATCTTCATAGAGCGCCTCTCTGAACCATGAAGTCAGCATCCGATTAACATAAAGCGTTTCAGGATCGAATTCGAGAAGGAATCAGAAGCATGAGGGTGGTAGATCGAAAACAGACAACCAGGATGACAAACGCACATTTGAGGTACGGCGTCCACGACTTCTGTCCAAAGGAGGTCGATCTGGGAGTCAAGGGTCTTCAAGGCAAAGACTCTCAACTCGGGGTCCGACTCAGAGAGAAAGCCGACGAGGCCGGCGGCGGAAGCAAGTCCAACCATGTCTGAAGGGAGGGTCTGGATTGATGAAAGAGGGCAGCGCCGTCGCTAGAGGATGAGGCGACAGCTTCGAATGAGCCGTGAGGTTGTTGAGTCGATCGAACCCAGTCTGCGGGTTACGGGATTACTGAAAATCAAAAGACGCAATGTACAAGTTGAAACGAGATGGATGAAGCAAGGAAGAGAGACGTGGTGGTGGATAGTGAGAAGAGACAAGCTCGGAGTGATCAGGAAGCTTCCTTTCCAGCAGCGAGGCACACGTCAATGGGGCGGAGGGAAGCTATCGAATGGTGGCTCTGGTTTCTGCCGGCCGCCCTATAAATGTCACGTGGCTCGGTGATGGCATGCGACATCTGCAGCAGACCCTCCAAGGAGTGCGCTTTCTTTCTCTTTTTCATGCCAGGTCGTGTATGAAAATGCTGTAATTGAATTGATTTATTCTCCTGCACTGCACATTGCGCGGGTAGCGACATCCTTACTCTCCCATTATCCACTCATTCCCACCTCATCCCAACGTCGTCACTCCGAGATGTCGGCAATATTCGCACCAAACAAGGGCGGCCAGCTACTGCCTGTGCCGACCGGAGCTTCCACCTACCACCAGGATTCTCTCGTTTATATTGACCGACAAGCCAAACAGATCGAGCGCAAGCTGCAGGATCTCATCGATGCTCAAAGCGAGGGCCTTCAGGCCGGTCTGGCGGGCCCACAGTCCAATGCTACACCCTCCACTAGTGGAAGCCATACTCCAACTTCGGCGCTGGGAAGTGTCAAGGGTGGGCCCTCTACAGTCCCAGTGAGACAGCCTCTTCCTGAAAAGATTGGTCTTCGTGCGGCTAGAGAGGGAATCTTCAACTCCATTTACGACCTGCTGAAGCTACGAGAGGAAGAGCATGAGCTACTGATCGCCCAGGTCGACGAACGGCACAATGCACTGCAGGATATCGATGGGTTCAACACCAAGCGCGCTGGTTTGGAGGACGCAATCTCGACAATTCAGGAGAACAAGGAGGGCCAGCGGACCAGGGAGCTAAGAGAGGAGAGTTACAGGCTGGAGGAAGACATCCATGAAATGGAGACTAGATTGTCGCAGATGAAAGCTCGACAACAGCATGTCATCCGAGAATTATCCCACATGGAGAACTCGGTGGAATCCACGCTATCCTCTTATAAAGCCTCTTTGTCTCTTTTGGAGTCGAGCGTTCGGAAATACCTCCAGGATCCGCCTGTAAGGCCCTTGCCGACCAAGTCGGGTGACGCTACGTTTTTCTCCTTAAACCCCAAACGACGAACTCTCGCTCTGGCACAGGAACACTGGACCAAGGAGCAAGCGGACCTGCGCCATCGGGAGGGCGAAGTGAAGGCAGAGATTGAAGCGCTTGAAGCAGGTGGCGGAGTTTGGAAGCAAGTAGTTGGGGAAGTCACCGGTTACGAGAAGCGGCTGAAGTCGAAAATGCGGCGCTACATGCAAAAGCAGTCACAACGTCAGAGCCCGACCGACCCTTTGCAGAATACACCGGAGGATGATATTGCCCGGGATGTGCTGGAGGATCTGGGACACACATCGGAGCGCGTAGAATACAAATTAGAACTTGCGGAGAGTAAGAACTGGAAGCTACTCGTCTGTTGCATTTCTGCAGAGCTCCAGGCTCTGCATGAGGCACGTCTACTCCTGATGGATCTGTTCAATGTTTCCGACGCCGATGTCCCGAGGAGGACTGTGGACGGGCGAGCTCGAAATGGACACTCCGCTATTGATGATGAACACGATGTCCATGCTGATCCGCTCGCGGTGGACAATCCCGAGCCCCCGGCTGACCTGTTGAGGGATACAGAAGAACACTCTCATGGTGCAGTTTCTAGGTCGGAGGATGAGGATGATGAACCCGATCCTGCCTGGCTGCTCCCAGAGTCGTGATCTACTTCCAGCACCTGTGTGATCTTCGTCGAAAACACTATATCCTTCTTGTAGCCTGTACTCTCTTAACGCTTTCGGTTTTTCAGCCCATTCATTCGAGCCCTCTGGGCCTCGGAACATGTTTCTTCTCCAGAATCAATGTAGCGGTAGAACGGAGGTATATTTTTGTGACAGTCTACTCCAACGACATTCAGCAACTGGGACAGCAAGCGTTGCGACAACCAGTTGCTCAAAGCCGCTGGGAACAAATTACATCTAAAGAGTTACACTGCCCAGAATTCTCAAAATACCATGGTAACAAAGAAAGGGCTCTGCATAACCCAATATTTGGCTTCTCAGGGGTGGTATCGGTCATAGTGGCTGATATATAGATAGACAGGGCGAATAGAGATGCAGACACCTTATCATTGCCAGAAGCTTTGATGCGCGTGGCCTTATGACACTCCGGGGCAGTAGGATATACATTGAATTCCTCCATCAAGGTGTGTCATCGGACTCTGCATGATCGCATGCTGTACAGTACAAACAGCGGCGCAGCGGCCATCCATCGCCTAGAAACGCTTGGACCCGAGCGGCGTCCCACTCGAGCTACTTTGTACATCCCTCATTCTTTCCCATCCACTTGCCCGGTGATCCAATTTTAGCCAAATACCTTGTCTAGTCCCCCCTCTGTTTAACGCAGAAAAGACTTCTAGACCATTTCCACATCCACCCCACCTCAGTGATATGTAAAGAACATATATGTGCTGATAGTGACTTCAAACCCACCTCTGATAATGCACCCCCCCGCTGCAACACACACCTTCACCATTCCCTCCCTCCATGATGGGATTAGGCTCGAATGCCGCATATACCATCCACAGGGGCGGTTGCATACGAGTTACAAGTCATGTCAGCAGATACGAGGCGCGATCGTTGCACATCCATACGCTCCTCTCGGAGGATGTTATGATGATCCGGTCGTCGGTTTTGTGGCAGAGGAGCTTCTCCGAGCCGGGTGTGTGGTAGGCACCTTCAATTTTCGGTAAGCATCGCCAATCCTTGTCTTGCTAGGGCATGATGTCGGAGCCGTCTCTCATCCATGCGTTTGATGCTTGATATTTGAAAACTCTTAGTCACCCTAAACTAATATGTGCTGCAGTGGCGCTGGTGGCTCAGAAGGACGGACAAGTTGGACAGGCAGGCCTGAACTGGCCGATTACGCCTCTTTCTACGAATTCATGCTACTCTACTTGCATCGCATGAGAAACCCCCGATCTACGTCATCGCGAGTTGGCGGAGATGGTCCCGATGCTGTGCAGCTCATTCTAGGCGGTTACTCGTATGGGTCAATGATTGCCTCGTCTCTTCCGCATCTAGATCTGGTTGCGGAGGTTGTGAGGAAAAGTAACCATGGTACCCCCATGCATGAGATCTACCAAATCTCTCAAGACCTCGTCTACTGCTTGGAGGAAGACAAGGATGTCCTCGAAAAACCAAGCGCCACGTTCCAGGAGATGAAGCAAGCTGCAGACGCGATTCAAAGAACCACTATCGCTTATTTACTCATCTCGCCCATTTTACCTCCGATTAATCAATTGCTGACAATATTCGTCAAACCGTCGCTTGATATTGGAGTGTATGAGCCGAGTAATAGGAGGTCGATTCCTTGTCCCAAGCCAGCCGACCAGGTATGCGCGCATGATACTCTTGCGCTCTACGGAACCCAGGATACATTCACGTCGGTACATAAATTGCAGAACTGGTCAAAAGAGCTCAGTCAGACTCCGTTAAGTAGGTTTCAGTCGGCCGAAATTGATAGAGCAGGGCACTTCTGGAGGGAAGATGGTGTCCGATCTCAGGCAAGAGACGCTATCAGGAACTGGCTCTGTCAGTTGCGTTGACCTACGCGCCATGGCCTGAACTATGCGCGTTTCATCACAATAACGAGCAATTCTAGATCATATCCCTAAGGGGTTATCGGCGCATTGATCCTAAGAGAAGAGAATACTGTCAACAAAAAGAGAGAGCCACTTTCACATGCGGGCTAGAGACCTGACCATGATAGGTAGCATGTGAAACTGGTTCGCACGCATGACCAGGCCGACCAAAAATCCGAACGATTACGGAAGCATAGTTCGACCTTAAGAACCCTCTCGACTGTACCTCAATATTATAGAGAGGGAGAGAAGAGTGTGTGCTGTGGCCGGCTTGGAGGATATTCTTCTTACCACACTCAACCAGCTGATAGAATATTCGGTCACGGCACCAATGACGCATGGCAATCCCAGCCTGCTAAGCCAACTTCTCCCTGTCAGATTATCCGTACTTGTCAGTAGCTGGCACAAGGAGCCCTTGCTATTGGACCCTTGGACTTCCGATGCGCACCATCCACGGTCGCACCCCTCCATGCAAGATCGCACCTGGAACTGCACCCGACGCGGATCTAGTTGCACGCGTTTGCTAAACAAGCAAGGGTTACCTCACCCCTGCACCTAGAACTTTCTTTCTGGTCTGTTGGTTCTCTACGTTCTTCGCCTTCGAGCAAGAATTGTGCGTCTGGGGTAATCTATTATCCTAGTCAACTATGGAAAACAATCCAAATGTGGGGAAAATGAGATCAGCAATTGCTAGGACTGGCTTTACAGGATCAGGCCGGACAGATAAACCTAGAGTGTTGGGCCAGATTCGGGGGGAGGTGTGACGAATGGTCGAAATTGCTGACAGAGACTCCGTGCTTTGGAATGACGGGCTGACGGGGGGCAATAGTGGATGAGTGGTGCATGATGGCATCGAGGCGCATTTCAGGCGAATCTGGTTAAAGTTAAGTGGTTGAATGGTAGGTATTCAGCAGGTTCGTTCATCTGCACCTGACCCGATGTGAGGGATATTATTCCATTTGGATAAGTTGAGCTGATGGAGCATGGAACATTAGGCAGTTACCCCTCTAGGCAGTTCTCTTTTCTACTCAGCCTAAGGATTTTCCTTTCCTCCCCGCGAAGGAGGGGGAGAAGAAAGGAATAATTAGTTAAAGAGAGAGAGGGGTGAGACGAGAAGGGAGGATCGGCAGCAGCCGAACGGCCTCGTGACGTTAGGTTGAGAATTAACCCCGGGTCTGCAACTGCTGACTGAGCCATTGCAAAGAGTTGAATGGAACTGCACCCCAGGAAACCCCCCGGTCGGTCTTGTTACCGGGGCTCCAGTCGACTCAAGTCATACTGACTACTCATACTAGTCTATGTGCCTAACAACAACTTAATCCATCCATCCATCCATTCATCCTCAAACTTGACGAACTATTGCCATACACTCATCCTGATATAATTCTACACCCCACCCCCACCGCTGACTGCTGAAAACTACTCTCTTGTTCCTTCTTCTGCCTAACCACATTACATCATCCTTCCCCCGTTGTGTCCAGCCCACCATCTTCAGTTCTTGCTTTCTCGAGCCAGCGGATCCCCTTTCTTAAGCTTATTTTGCATGCGCCTTGTCTCAGAGATCAGACTGATGCAGGGCCAAGCCTGTCATGTCAATACTCCACGATCCTACCGTCGTGCGCACCCAGTGCAATAGTAAATCCAAGCGACGCCCAACCGAAGCCGCGACCCGAGATGCGGCTGGCGGGTCCCGGCGGTCTCTCTTCAAGTCCATCTCTGTTCCGTCCCTGTCGTCCTTTGTCAAGAGCTCTTTGTTGTGGGCTGGGGATACCCTGAATTACCAGATAGATGGTCTGACCGCCGAGCAGCGCAAGTCGCGCATTGACATGCAAGACCGGAAGCAAGTTCTTTACCTGAAAAAGCGAAATGTGAGTCACAGCCGGGAGAACCACTGGACCAAGATCTAACACCTTCGCGCAGGCTGTGACGTATGAAGAATGGCGGAATTGTGCCAGCGAATTAGACGAATTGGAAGAGCACACGGTTTGGAAACAAACCCTCGAGTCACCTGACTACGACGTCCGTCTGGTTCAAGAGCGTCTCAAGCAACTGGAGGACGCCCGGGTCAGTTGCGATGTCAGCAGGATGTTGTATCTGATTCGCACATCTTTCAGCCGCGACTTGGGAAACATGAGTAATGCCTCACTTTACCGGTATTCCCACCTGGGCACGAAAAACTTGATAGACGAATACATCACCACTGCTCTGAATACGATATCTTCGCTGGTCGAGTTATCGGGACAAAATCGGTGCGATGGCCTAGAAACTAAATACATCCTCGACCAACTGCTCGCAGCGAGGCAAGCGTTCGGACGCAGCGCGTTGCTGTTCTCGGGTGGAGCGACTTTCGGCATGAATCACATCGGCGTACTCAAAGCTCTCTGGGAGGCAAATCTCTTACCTCGAATCATTTCAGGTGCGTCAGCAGGCAGCATCGTGTGTGCAGTATTCTGTACGCGGTCTGAGGACGAGCTTCCGGCTCTTCTTGAGTCCTTTGCGTACGGTGATTTTGCTGTCTTTGGTCCCGAAAGCGAAACAGACAACATATTACACAAGACAGCGCGGTTCCTGAAATATGGGTCATTTCTGGATATCTCTCATCTGGCTAGAATCATGAGGAACTGGCTTGGCGATATAACGTTTCAAGAAGCGTACAATAGGACGCGGCGAATTCTCAACATCTGCGTCTCTAGCGCGGGGATCTATGAACTTCCCAAGTTGTTGAACTACATCACTGCACCAAACGTGTTGATTTGGTCCGCTGTGTAAGATATCTCCTTGTTTTCCACATTCCCACCTTCACACGGATTTCAATACTGACGTCCGCAGTGCTGTTTCCTGTTCAGTGCCCGTGGTCTTTTCACCATCGGAGCTCATGGCCAAAGATCCACGAACGGGAGAGCCAACGCCCTGGCACGACTTGCACAAACAGTACATCGATGGCTCGGTAGATGGCGATCTGCCGATTAGCCGACTCGCGGAAATGTTCAACGTCAACCACTTCATTGTTTCGCAGGTTAATCCTCATGTCGTCCCATTTCTGCCGAGGGATGATGGTCCGGATCAGCACGAGCAAACGCCCTTCACTGCCTCCAAGTGGCTTCATACCGCCACTCATCTGGCCAAAGATGAGATCATGTACCGCCTGACAGTTCTCTCAGACATGGGGATCTGTCCGACCTCCTTGACAAAGACTATGTCAATAGTGAACCAGAAGTATTCTGGCGATATCAATATCTACCCTGAGATATTGTATAGCAATTTCCCTGTGATGCTGAAAAATCCGAACACAGAGTTCATGCTTCAAGCATGCCTGAGTGGGGAGCGTGCAACATGGCCTAAGCTCGGGCGCATTCGAAACCATTGCGCCATAGAATTGGCCTTGGACATGGCGGTGCAGAAGATGCGAGCACGAGTGACATTTTGTCCTGCCAAGGTCAGAGTCATGCCCGAGGGTTTCCTCAGCCACTCGATCGGATCGCTAGATAGCACTGGAGGCCGTGGACGGATGCTCAACCGACGGAGTTCGTATAACCATGAGTTGGAGCGAAGGAGGCCCATCAAGCATCATACCAGCAATCAAATCGTACCACAATTACAGAGATCTCGAAGCGTGTACGGGTCAGATCAATCGCAGAGCATGGATTTTATAACCTCAGCGGCCCGAGATCGCCGTCTCCACCAACGCACGGAAGCCCACCATGGAATATCTCCCCATGCTGGCGAGGACTCTCATTCCACGGAATCTGATAGCGGGGAAGAAACAATGGCTTCATACTCCGAACAGCCCCAGGTGAGCAAACCGTGGCAATTCTGGGAGCCATGCTCTCAGGACCACCCATATTCCTGGATGGCTTCCTCCAAGAGTGGTTCGCAATCTCCACAGTCGACGCCTGGTTCTTCGTCCTCGTCTGGCAACTCTGTACGATCACCGCTTTACGGGCTTGCCGTTCGTTCGCCGGAATATGCATCCTGTGGGATGCACGAGATGTCGTTATCTCCTTCCGGCTCCCTGCTACGAATGACGCCGACTTCCCATGTCAAAACCTCTAGGTCCTCTCGAATATGAATGGCAGCGTACAGACAATTAACATGTCCTAGATACACTCCACAATCCTCAATATTGCTTCTTGCTGTTTTTCCCCTTTCCAAAAATCTTTTTTTTTGTGATTGCATAGTATCGGCAACCTTGGGCCGACCTACATTTCCCCCTGACCATGATACACGCTGCGTGCACGCTTTCATTTATTGTGCTTTAAAGTAAGCATAGTTTGGGGTGCATGGGCGGCTCTGATAAAGAATTTGGGCGTTTACGATGGCCAACTATTGGACAGGCCTCATCTAGAAAGCACTAGTCATAGAATTGCATATGATAGTGGGAGCTTCATTGCTTTCTGACACGACATTGATCTCAACTGAAATTGACTACGTAGACAGGTTGTAATGACATGCATGATGCACGATGGACCGGGCCAACGATGACTGAAACTAAAATAGAAACATCCTCGCGGGCGCGTGAGAAGTCTCTGTGATTGGCCTGAACGAGGTACGATGCTGTACTCATTCATGGTGGTAGTACTTACCTACCTACGCGAATCGCTTAAATGCATGGAGAACGGAATTAATTCACCATCCAGGGCGCATCGCTGACTTCCTGGCGGTCCAATGGTCCAATAAAATGTCCGGAATCCAGACCACAGCAACTGCAGTGCTACTAATTAGGGACATCCTGGCCCAGGTCTTAATATAGAAATATGCAATTAAATCGTGGATTGTCCCTCAGGCGGTTTGTTCGTCCTATCAAGCCAATCAACCCACCGGCTCATCCCGCACTGATCTTTATGACTATACTCTACTGGGTAGGCTGTCTTCCCCTCCTCCACTTTCCCCGGCGGCTATTCTATCCTTCCCCAACTCATCTCCATCTGGTCTGCTTCTAATGTTGGAAACATACACTACATTGCAGTTGCATCATGCAGTACCCTGTGTCTCCTGTTTACCCTGACCTTCAAACATCATGACACAATTAGCGATCCATTCCAACCGGCTGCTTGCCCATGGTTAAGCTTTTATACCGTCCATCTCCCGTGGTCATAGAGGATTCACTCTTCAGCCTTCTTTGGGTCTGTGCTCTTGGGAAGTCCCTGGAAAGGAGATCCGATTGGGTTATCCTCACTTTCTTCAGCCCTGTGTACTTTGTTGTTTCTGCAAGCGCCGGCCCAGACTTCAGTTGTTTTGTCCAGTGTCAGCCGACAGCCATCACCAACTACAACACTGGTGCTAGTTGATCCCCGCAGAAACTCTTCTCTCGTGGGCGTGCTTCCTTCGCACCCTATCATGCGGGTTCTCCTTTGTCCTTGTTCTGCCCGTTGAGATATCTCCGTCTATGCTTTTGTTGGTTTCCATTCATCTCCCTACCGATTTCCAATTTTTCCAACGCATTCGTTATGGCAAGCGCCGTGAAAGGGCCTCTGGGCCGTTTTCGAAAACACGAGTCTCACGCGCCGCTGCATGAGCGATGGGGTGATGTAGGCATCACGGTTCCAACAACCGGTTCATGGAATCAATACGAGATTCCTCATCAGTCGTCGCTCCGAAGGGCGGCCTACGGCCCGGGCTTTGTGCCTTCCAGCTCTCGTCGTGGCCACGATGACGAGACGGCCCCTTTGACACAGCCTGATCATCACACCGCCAGGCCCAGCTTATTGTCCGTCAAAGCGCTGAACCCTCGTCGACTGTCTGTGCGTCTCAATCCGCTACCCAAGAACTCAACCGACTACCCGAGGGAAAACGACCAACAACCTACCACGAAAGCCGAACGCAGACGGTCTCAGTTCGCCTACAAGCCAATCCAGCAGGACTACCTCACCGAAATTGCCGAAAAGACAGCCTATTTGGAGCCCCGTTCTCCGCGCTTTAGATACATCCCTGCTGGGGTGCAATTTACGGAAGAGCTTAGAGCTATATCACCACAGCCACAGTCTAGCCGCCGCGAGAGTTCCTACAGTCACTCTGATGAGGATCTCGCGGAACGGCGATCAAGACCTCGCGGCCGTCATGCCCATATCCAGGATGCATTCAGTGACGAATTGAGCGAGGAGGAGCATCGCCACAACAGACAGTCCCGATCCTTGGCCTGTCCGCGCCGAAGCGAGGCGAGCAGTAGCCGACGCGCCTGCGCCTCGGTTGAAAGGGGTAGCAAGCTGTCGACAGAGAAAAGGGCGACCCGACTCGGAAAATACATGACTACAGCCATGGTGCCTGATCCAGACCAGCTGTACGAATAATGAAATCTCAGCATTGCATTTTACGTCGATCATGCCGTGACGGCCTAAAGAACCAGACTAAATGATTATTGCATAGCATTGTTCTTGGCATGGCGTTGGTGGCTAAATCGATTTCACTCCTAAACATCCGGGGAAATGCGGTAGCAACTTACTAGTATAATCAAATCATATATTGTTATCATTGCCTTGCCTTTACATGATCGATATAACTAGTTGGGACATTGATTATTCATGGCGGTTCAATTACTAATAGACCCTCGGGCGACTTGACTGACGTCAACCTGACGGGGCTCACAGCAACCTTCCCCAATTGGCGGGTTCTCACCCCTTCTGTGCTTGTCTCTCTTCTTCGGCTTGAGAGCTGTCATTGTGGTGTGAGTGCTTATCGTTGTACCTGAAAATACTCCGACAATGATTAGGGCATGACGCCATGAAACAGAAGGCTCGAACCAAGTCTTCTCCCCAGTGCATGACGCCATGTTGAGCGCACTTTGAAGCTGCATCTGATAAGCAGAAGTTGTTGCAGGGAGTGGCTTAAAATGCTCCTGTGAAAAAGTCTTTTTCTTTGGGAATGCCATCTATCTCGACTTGTGATCGAGCCCAATTCATACATACTACGCCAAATTCAGAATGCCAGACTCCGTAGTTCAGTTGTTATGTGGTGTGAAGGTATGACAAATGGCATAGTTGTTTTCGTCTTGTCTACACGTGCTGATTAGCCGCCAGAACGACCCATGGGGTAAGAAGGGAAAGGATTCCCTGGCGGGAGTGCTGTGGTCTAAAACGCCTGGAGCCGGAGAAGTTGATGATTCCAAGACCTATTCCGAGGTGAGTTGAAACGATGTTAATGCCATTAAAGCTGCAGCGATTGACAGTCTACAGATGTGGATGGGCACATATCCCACCGTTCCCTCCAAGATCTTGTCCACGGGACAGCTGCTGAGCGACTACCTGAAAGAAAACCGAGAGGTTGTGGGCAAGTCCGCGTTGGACAAATGGGGACCTGAGGTTCCTTTCCTACCCAAGGTATGAGACAGAGTCCCGATATCTCTTATCTCCCCAGAACAACGAGCCTGACCCAAAGCAGATTCTATCTTTCTCCAAGGCGCTGCCTCTGCAGTTACACCCCGACAAGACTCTATCAGAGAAGCTCCACCAGACGGATCCGGGCAAGTTCGCGGACCCAAACCACAAGCCGGAGATTGCCATCGCCTTGTCAAAGTTCGAGCTCTTTGCGGGCTTCAAGCCCCTGGCCGAGATTGAACAGCTCATGAAAGTCAAGCCGCTCGACCAATTCGTGCCTCCGGGACAAAAGTCCGGCCTTGACGACGAGCTGCTCCGCGAGATTTGTCGGATTCTCTTGACGTTGCCCCCGGCCATTGTCGCCGAGACCATCAAGGAGCTCCAAGAAATCCCCGAGTCGCAGTTCGGGCCCAACCAGCGGTATATCCCTGGTCTGCTCGACCGGTTAAGCAAGCAGTACTCGGAAACCGACAACGGAAGCTTGGTCGCGGTGCTCCTCATGAACTACATGACGCTCGGGCCCGGCGAGGCCGTCTGTGTCCCGGCGGATAGCATCCACGCGTATCTGCACGGCGATATCATGGAGTGCATGGCCCGTTCGGACAACGTGATCAGCACGGGCTTCTGCCCCAAGGCGGAGAAGGACAGCGTCGATCTCTTCACGCGGGCGCTGTCGTTCCAGCCGCACGGTCCGGACGAGGCGATGTTGCCGCGTCGCAAGAGCGACAAGGGCGAGCACTATAAGACGGAAGTCTATGCCCCGCCCTTCAGTGAGTTCAACGTCCTCGGCACCAGTCTGGGAGCCGGCGAGAAGGAGACATACAAGGCGATTGGAGGTCCCAGTCTGATGATCGTGACTAAGGGTAGTGGGAAAATGAGCGTGGCGGGTGGTGACGGCGAGACGTTTGATTTGCGAGAGGGTTATACTTACTTCATCGGGGCCGGGGTGGCCTTGGACCTGAGCACGGAGAAGGGGCTCGCGGTGTATCGTCCATATGCAGAGTGAAGCGGTCTAAATCTGAAAAACTGAGCGGCAGTTAAGCGTATGGTTGTGTCGAGATTATGCCAGCGATCATGAAGTTCATGTGTGGGATAAGTTGCTGTATAATACCCCTTCAACACAAAATAGAATATACTACCTATTCTCGAGACATGCCAAATAGTCGACCGATGCAGACTTCGACTGCCCACCAAAACCTCGCAGCAAGTAAGTACATTCTTGCATAATACCTGTTACTATTACTATGTGCCAGTCTATCTATATCCAAGCCAGATAAATATAGATCAAGCGCACTAGCCCTGCAGACGGATATCTTGATTCTATTTTGGTCCGCAAACCGCAAAACCCCAGTACCGACAGACAAATAGCCGCCGGCCGATACGAACAACCACAAGCGCTCAGACATGGGGATCGACCCTCGATATCCAATGGATTTCCTTCTCCCCCGCCCTCTGGCAGTAATCTTGGTCTTTATCTTCCACTTCTATTCTATTTTTAAACCTCCCCGACCCAAAGAGACCCGCTTTGATACTATGCGGTATTCGAGAAAGTCAACAAACGCGGGTGACAGGATTCATGAGGTAAAGTTAGCAGCAGCAGCAGCAGCAGCAGCAATGCAGGATGTGTAGGGCAGGCAACTCATGCAGGGCGGCAGGAACCAACCACTCCCATCATCATCACCACGTCGGTTGAGATTAAAATAGCTCTTGCGACCAGGGACCGACCGAGAACGCTGGGCAGAGAAGCTTTGACGCTCGAGTGGCCCTCTCTTCTTTTAAGATCGGGGTGGCGGGTCGTCGCGTTTGACAGGTCGGGGAGTTTTTGTTTCCTCTTTGCTTGGTTCTGCCCTGTCTTGCCTTCCGTCTGCTTGCGTTGGTTGCCGGCTTGCTGTTTCGATTGCTCGTTTTGTGTATTGTTTGTGTGTCAGTGTGTGCGTGTGCCTGTTCTGTTGTGGTCGTCTGAGGTTTCTTATAGTGAGACCAAGTGGACGAGACGCAGGTCCTGATTCTGTTTCATTGGATGTCTGGTTGGTTGGTCGGTCGGACGGACTGAGTAGACGGACGGACAGAGATACAACAGACAACAGACAACAGACAACAGACAACAGACAACAGACAACAGACAACAGACAACAGACAACAGGCAGCAGACACGAAGATGCAGACACAAATTCTCGAGGGTCGGTCGACGGGACTCTCCTCGTCCAGTATGGATGCGATGATCATTGGAGTGGTCATTGGGAGTATGGTACTGCTGGCGGGTGAGCCTTGACTTTTCAATTCTTCCCTTATTTATCCTGATTGACCATATCTTGTCATGTGTGGAGTATTGCATCTTGAACCCGAAAGAGAAAGGAAGGGTTGGGCCCAGCCGGTGGGAAATGGATGCGGTGCCTGAGCAAAGAACGAAGAAGGAAGACCAAAGACTGACCAGCCCAATTTCTTCTCTCCAACTCCAACAGTCATCGGCATCTTTGCCTACCTCTGCCACAAGAAACGTGCCATGCAACGTCGCGAAGACCGTCAATTCCTCATCGACCATCACCTCTCCTTTGCCTTGGGATACTATCCCACCCTGCGCGACCTCGAGGCCAACCAGAAGGAACAGCAGCCCGGAGGAGGAGTGACAGTGAGAGAGATCACAAGCCTTGCTGATCTTCCTCCTCCAACCCAACCGATGTCACGGCTCTCGGCTCATTATCACAGTCCGGTTGAAGACCTCCTTCGCGATCCACCGCCCGCCTACCAACCGTTGCCGGCCTATGATCCATCTCGATATCATAGAGTCGATACTGCTCCTCTTGGGTTGGCTATCCCATATAATCCTGCTCTGGTTCAGCAGGACGAAAGACCGTCGTCGTTTGTGTTGAGTCCCCCCGCTCCTATCATGGCTCAGCGTGACTCGTTCGTTACTCCGAGATTCTCTTTTCAACCTTCTCCCACGATAGGACCCATGCGCGATCTGAATGAGGTTTCGTCTCTCTCTTCTTCTAACCCAGACACCAGCGTACAGACGCCTAGACGACCCAAGCCTGTGCTATCGAGGCTGGTGACTGATCTTCGCTGATGGTGGAGGGAAGTATTTCGTTGTCTCCTTGATGTCGCTCGCTTATAGATTGATTTTTCACATGCCTTGTCTTGTCACTGGAAAACGTTCGGTTTTGCGACGATCTGGTCAGGCCCTGTGGTCAGGTATCATTGACCGTATGCAAGAAAGGCAAAGCTGGCTTAGATTCATGATGACGATAAGGTTTATGTTTATGATGTTGATGCTTACGCTTATGATGTCGATGATGATTACGCGGCGAAAAAATGGACGGAATGAACGAAAAGACACGCCAGCTACAGGGAAGAGCCATATCCGCTCGCGGTTGGGTATTCTACGCCAAAGCACTTGAGCTTCACTGTTCACCAAGGCCATTGGCCCCAACTCAGAGCGCTCGCTGGCAGAAGCTGTTACGAGAGCTAATCCGAGGCAGGTAACCCCTGCGCGGCTGTCACTCACTCAAGGTCAGTACTTTGTCAAACTCCCTTTGGTCCTTCCTCCCCTCTCGCTGTTCCTTCCCATCATGAGCAGTCTCTCACACCCCTTCCCCGCACGACAGATCACCTCAGTTCGCATGGTACATGTACTGGACATTGTCCATCTATCTACCGGTACAGGTTAGGACTGGCGGCTAAATCACCGGAGCAAACAGGTCATACCTCAGACCCCGTACAAGTTGGGATGCGTTGCATGTACTCGGCAACAACTACTGCGACACGCCATTTCGTTTGCGAGCCGACGGACGACGGATATGACCCTAACGGAATCGTCCCAGTACCCAAGCTGGGTGCATTAACCTAAAGGAGAAAGCGCTTAGGTCGATGGCCCGGCCCTACAGCCTGGTAACTCAGAAAAATTTCCGCTCTTGTTTGGACGTGACCGCTGCGCTGCAGCTAGAGAACGAAGGAAGATGTCTCGGAGCCGACCAGCTGCGGGGTGACGAGGAAATGTGACAATGACTCCTCACCTGCTTGAGGGGACCCATTCAGGCGCGTAGATAAGCTCCGCGGGTGGTTCGGGTCCAGCCGCGACGATCAAACCAGTGCTTGTCCGTTGCGGTTTCCCCTCTTTCTTGTCGCCAGACCCTGGCCTCGTGGACGAATAGGCGAATCGTTGCTGACACCCGGCCGAATTACTGAATTCTCCATGATTGCCTGCTGACCAGTGAGATGTCCAAAGATCGTGTCGCTCCATCCGCTGTTGCGACGCCTTCAGCTATCACCACCGATGACTCTTCTCGCCTCATCGGCCTGATCCACGGAATGTCTCAAATTGCGACTACTTGCCTGCTAGCTCCAACAAGGATATTTCCCAGTCTGCCAATGCTGATTGATGCCGAGACCGCTGGACGCGCCATGCCAAGGATGATGGCCAATGACTAGGCGCATTTCCGTCCGCCATCCCAGCAGCTGTGCCCAGCTAGCAAGCTGCAAAAGCAAGTTGACTGCGCCGCGTCCACCTCCGCGCGAGTGACTACTGCGCCCCTGCCTGGCAGGTACGCGGACCGGTTCTATTCCCTGTTACCAACGCTCGTTTGTGACCAGTAGTTGTGGCCAGCCTCCGTGCCGCTTCCATAAGAGCGATCTTTGATCGGGTAGAATTGGCCCTCACCCGATGTTTCCCCCCATCCAGCACGACGAAATGACCGCGATGATGGTGGGTGAACCATACTGTCGGGTCGTGAATGCGTTACCACCCCGTGCGACCGTCACTGACTCGCCAGACCAAGGATGACTGCCTGCCGTTCCTGAAGGACTTCCCTGAAGGAAACCCAATTATCGGTCCCTGAGACAAGGACCCTCATCTATCAACATTTTGAGCGATATGCATGAGCCCTTCGGTTGGCGTGGTCCTTCTGTCACCGATTAGAGTGTCCTGGGTCGATAGAGACTGGTCTCGAAGCCTGCAGCGCCGCTCGATGGGCTTTGCTCCTTCGTTTACCTTCCCCTTTGCGACAGCTTCAGAAGTGCATCGTAGGTGGGAGGAATCTTGGGGTAAAAGAAGAAGGGACCGGCAACACGCCGTGGTGCCCCCCTCCGTTGAAAGGTACCGTGGTTGTCTCGGCTCTTCATTCCTTGGCTCTCAAATCCTTCAATCATCCGTGGCTCAGCTGTTGATGCTAATCCCATCTCAGCCTTCCCAGGCTTCATTCTATGAAAGGTCCTTTTGCGATTATGACGAACCTCATGCAGAAACTGCGACGGAAGCGAAAGCTATCTTCGGAATTGCACTCACGATGGGGCGACGTATCTATCACCTATCCCAACGGAGGCTCTTGGAATCAGTGGGATCAGGCGAGTGCAGGCGTTCGCACGTCTGATGGAGAGCACGAACATCGACAGAACTCCGCTGAGTCCAGTCGGTGCGCAAGTTCGCCTCGTATAGGGGCTTCTATCCAGGGGACCAGCAGAGACGCGCGAGCGCAGTCTGTCGATTCGGCCATGACGATTCCTACAGGGCACTACGATGCACGGGTGGGAAGCCGTACGAGGAAGAAGCAGCATCCGTATGAAACGACGTCTGTTCATCCACACAATGCGTGGTACCATTCATGCTCCGATGACGGTTCGATGGAGGAGGCAGAAGGAGCAGCCGCTCCACCGCCGCTTAATGTATTGAGCGGACGACATCAGCCCTCATCCGGTCGACCCAATCCGTACGATGATGCTGAGCTCTACTCGCGAGCATCCAAATCGCCTCCATTGTCGGTCACGTCGCGTATGCGCGGATGTAGTGCTCAGGGCTGTGTGGCGGATTCTCCGGTGTCGATGCCAGGGACGGTCGGTTCGAGACATAACAGCTATACTTCCTCCGTACCCTCGAATCCCTCAGAGGACCACCGAATTCCGGGCATTATTCCTTCATCCTCTACGCTGGCAGAGCGGAGAGCTAGTCGACGTTCTAAGCAGGAGCCTCTACGAGCACAAGAGATGGTTCCCTCGTACGATGAACTCTATGGGTAGACAGTGTGTGGGGAGAGCTCTTGGCAGGTACATTGGGTGGCTGTTTTGACTTCTGCATTTGGGTTGCTTTGGCTGAGTGGCAGTTTGTGATTCTTTTTTGTTGATTTGTTTTTTTTTTTTTTTTTTTTTTTTTTTTTTTTT